TGCCCATGCTATTTTAGGTTTTAGAGTAGTGGTTCTCAACCTTCTTAGAGTCGCGACGCCTTTAATACAACTCCTCATGTTGTGGTGATGACCCCAACCATAAAATTATTTTCGTTGCTACTTCATAAACATGTGTTTTCCGATGTTCTCAAGGCGACCCCTCTGTCAGGGTCGTTCGACCCACAAAGGGGTCACGACCCACAGGTTGAGAACCGCTGTTTTAGAGTTATAAGTTATGCATAACTCCAATAGTGACTTCTATTATATGCTTGAATAAATGAAACATTTCTTATGTAAGTAGTTGAAATGAATTAGACGTAGGCATAACGACGTAAATCTGCATAATTTACAAACATTTCTGTAGTTTTGATCAATGGTCAGATATCGAGCACAGAGGCGTAGCTGGAGTGTTTGGGGCAAAATTCATTTTTCGCCCCCACCCCACAACCACCCAAGCTCTGAAAACGATTATGTTCATCATTACAACACCAGTAATGCCCTCATTAATCCGGCGCCCGAGGACACCAGTCTCCCTCTGACCCCCTCACCTTAGCTACATCTCTGATAGAGCTATAGTGCAGCTACAATAACATTATTACATGGTAGGCTACCATCTCTGATAGAGCTATAGTGCAGCTACAATAACATTATTACATGGTAGACTACCATCTCTGATAGAGCTATAGTACATCTACAATAACATTATTACATGGTAGACTTCCATCTCTGATAGAGCTATAGTGCAGCTACAATAACATTATTACATGGTAGACTACCATCTCTGATAGAGCTATAGTACATCTACAATAACATTATTACATGGTAGACTACCATCTCTGATAGAGCTATAGTGCAGCTACAATAACATTATTACATGGTAGACTACCATCTCTGATAGAGCTATAGTACATCTACAATAACATTATTACATGGTAGACTACCATCTCTGATAGAGCTATAGTACATCTGCAATAACATTATTACATGGTAGACTACCATCTCTGATAGAGCTATAGTACATCTACAATAACATTATTACATGGTAGACTACCACCTCTGATAGAGCTATAGTACATCTACAATAACATTATTACATGGTAGACTACCATATATGATAAATCTATATTACAGCCCCAATGCATGATGCCATGTAGCCTACAAAGTGGGAAAAAATCCAAGCCCCGATAGAAAAAGGGACGTCATTTATTTTTTTTTTTTTTTCAAAGTGGGGTGGGTAGGCTTGTTGGCTTGTTTATTATTGGAGGCGCCACAGTGAAGACCAAATTTAAATAAGACCTGCCACACGTTAGGATTGGATCTTTTCTAGTGTTAATTTTAAATGAACAAACGTTCTTTTTTTTTTTTTTTTTTTTTTTTTATTTTTTTTTTGACGACTTTTTTTTTTTTTCTTTCCTTTTATTTTGTTACTTAGTAAAATTTTTTTTTTATCTTTTTTAGTGTTAATTTTAAATGAAAAAACTTTTTTTTTTTTTTTTTTTTTTTTATATTATTATTTTTTTGACGACTTGTTATTTTCTGCTGTCCTTATATTCTGATACTTAGTACAATTTTTTTTTCTTAAAAATTCAGGAGGGTGTGTGGGTGGGGGTGTCTACTTCCCTTCCCAAATGACGTATGAGGGGCCCAAGCATCCATCATTATCATTATTATCGTATTTCTGCCTATGACACAAACAACTCATCGTCTAATGTGTGGAATCAGAGTTTTCAGGCGAATTTCGGATACGCTCTGTCACATGATTGGTTTATATCCACCCTCTTTTTGCATTCAAAGGTGTTCTCTTTATTTTTCATATCACAACGTCGGGCTCCTTTCATAAGCGAGGCACACTCGAAGGTTTTGTATGAGGTCAATGTCTCCAAGTTCAGGCCCAAACCTAAACACAATTAATCACCGAGATGCACCCATTGTCATAAAAACCAGTCAGTCCAATATTCCTTCAGATATCATCACATCTGCTCTAGGGGTGTCAAATTTTTTTTTAACTACCTGACCGGCTTCCCGGTGACCCACGGAGCTGGGTACCAGACGGTGCAGACACATTTTTAGGAGATGTAGGGAGTCATTGAAGTTAATGTTGTTTTTAAAAAAAACATAAATTTAAAAAAAAAGCTACACTATGTGTATATTACAACTGTAAGCTTTACTCATTTTAAATGGCGTTGTTCTTTAATACAGTGAAACCTCCGTTTTGCGACCTTTAAATTGTCATTAAAATGAGGTCGTAAATTGTAGGGGTTTTAAAAAATAGGTAGGACATTTTCGAAAAACAACATTTAGAAAATGAAGTAAATACACGTACCATAAAGTATAGGCACTATCTACCATCTTTCGTTCAGAAATATAGGTTAAACTCGGTCTCACAACCAATACAGTCACTATCTTCCTGTTCCTCATTAATTCCAAAATAAAAATCAATGCTAATATGGTAGTTGTTAAAAAGCATGTGTAAGTGCTGAGTACATGCTTAGAGTTATAACTATTTATGTACAAGGTAAGCTCATTAATATTGTTGTATTTGTTTTTAATCAGTCATTGAATAGTTTGTTTTTTGTGTGTGTGTGTGTTTTTTTTTTTTTTTTGTTTGCATGTGCTTGTAGGCCTAGTATGTCACTATGAACACCAGACGGCAAGGTCTGAAATGCCCCGGCTCAGGGCAAATCTGGTCAGCTCCTTGGAGTATTTCAAGGCAGTGGAGAATTTGATAGATTTCTTCATCTTTCTCATTCTCAGGGTCACTAAGCTGGTTATCTACTTGGGAAGAAGAAGCCTGACTATCGCTAGTAACAGTGACACATATGGTCTGAATATTATCATCACATAAGGCAAGCTCCAGAAAGGTGCACCCATCAAGCATTCCCTCCATGGCTCCCTCCAGTGTGACATCCTCTGAAGGCCCTTCATCAAACTGGATGGTAGCTTCAGTTTCAACACCCTGCACCACTTCCTCGCTGCTTTAGTGCATCGTCTGCTGTTAAAAGTTGTAAACGAAATTGTTTTCTTCAAGCGCACAAATTTAGCATTGCTTTGGACTTTCTCAGGTGCTAGGCCGTAAAATTGATTTATTTGGAGGTCGCAAGGCGCGTTTTAAAGGGAGTCGTTTAAGAGGGAGTCGTTTAAGAGAGGTTGTTTATATGGTACAAAGCATTGGTGAATTTTGTTCCCGTCGTATGTTGGAGGAAGTCGTTTAAGAGAGGGTCGCAAAATGGAAGTTTTACTGTATAAAATTTTGTTATAAACATTTTAAATTATATTGGATGTTGTATTTAGGTTTTCTTTCGAATAATTCCATAACCTGTAGTATAATATGAACAACAGGCGTCATGTGTTAGATCAACACGTTTAGATATGAGACCAACGTGTTTAGAGTTAAGATCAATGCGTTTAGATATGAGACCAACACGATTAGATATGAGACCAATACGTTGAGATATAAGACCAACGCCTTTAGATAGAAGACATATCATACTAAAGCGGAAATAGATTGAAAGGATGGGTATGGGGCGCTCTGTCCTCTGTATTGAAATCATGCAGAATCACGCCATCGGCGGTAAACTCGAGTGACGCATGGTTTCGTTGTTACTCTAAAAGAAAAATGAAAGTGGCGTATCAGGATTCATGTGGGGGTGGGGGCAGTCCCATGCATCTATCGCGACCCCGTACGACGCAAGTAGTGGAAGCCGTTAGGAATAATTCAATACATTTATTTCTACCCTTTTTTTAAAAAAAAAATACCCCCCCCCCCCAAATGAAATTTAATTTGTTAATGATTTTTTAAGTCTGGTAGTTTGCTTTGGGATCATGGTCCTGTAATTTACTTCAAAAAATTTGGAGTTAAGTAGTGGAAGCCGTTAGGAATAATTCAATACATTTATTTCTACCCTTTTTTTAAAAAAAAAATACCCCCCCCCCCAAATGAAATTTAATTTGTTAATGATTTTTTAAGTCTGGTAGTTTGCTTTGGGATCATGGTCCTGTAATTTACTTCAAAAAATTTGGAGTCATCTGAAGTTAGTTTGTTATTGTTTGTAAATTAAATAAATCTCTTCAGAATACATTAACACATAATAATGTGAGAATACTCTTATTCTACAATATCATGATGACAATTTCAGTGCAAAGGCGTTTCAAAAAGGAAACTAGTACAGTAACCATGATTTTGACCTCATATGTTTGCTCGATTAACAAATTATGGAATTTGAAAAACAGTAAATGGGTAATTACAACCAAATCGGATGAAGGATTGTAGCTATTTCAAATTGATCTCGGTTAAACCTGAGACCTCGGTATTTAAAATGCCGTTCAGATGTAGGCCCTACTGTTATGGACGCTCTTTTACTAACTTAATAAGTTAATGTTGAGTGTTACACTGTTCGTGCGTTCATAGTAATGTATAAAATACTAAATAATCTTTAAAATCAGTAACCTAAATAATAGTAGCTCATGCCATCATATTTCCAGGTTTAGCTACAAAGTATATCATAGGATTTTTTATTAAAAAATAACAAATTTAATCCTGCTTTCTGACTTGGGGAAGTCTACCAAACCACCGGCACCGCACCCAGTCCCAGTCTCTTATTCTGATTTCTAAACTTAATCTGGTAACAAAATAAGAGATTATTACCATAATGTATTATTAGTTTTAACATTTAGTAGGCCTTAATTAATCTTGGCATATAATAGGCATTTTATACGTCTCTGTAGATTGTAGTATATTTTAATAAAATTTTTAAAATAATTAACTATAAGTATAAGTATAAGTATAGTATAGTATAAGTTTAATAAGTTGTATTATAAGCATAGTATTATGATCATTTTTTATGGTATAGTTATATTACAGATTACAGGCTGCTTTTTATGGTTTATACTAGTTATATTCTATTTATATTATTAATTATATTTTATAGTACATAGTTAGTTCTCAGATTTATATGATTATTTAGAATATTTTTCAATATCTGAACAATAACATATGAACAATGTCTGTGATAACACTGCAACTTGGCCAGTGTGGAAATCAAGTAGGAGAACAGACATTCTCTACACTTATTGATGACATATATTCAAAGTCAACTGGCGTTACAAGTAAGGAAAATCAAGATTATAAGGATTCATCACTAGAGACATTTTTTACACAATCAGAAAATGGTGGTAGAGATGGATTACAATCACTACCAAAAGCCAGAGCTGTTCTTGTTGACATGGAAACAAAAGCTATCGCCCAAACTTTGCAGCAAGCTAGAAAAAGTGGTAAATGGAGTTACCATGACAAACAATGGTACTCTCAGAAGAGGGGCTCAGGAAATAATTGGGCATACGGTTACTGTGTTCATGGACCAAAGTCAAAAGAGGACATCATGAATTTGGTTAGAAAAGAAGGGGAGAAATGTGAGAGAGTTGGCGGCTTTTTAAGTTTTTTAAGCTTAGCTGGAGGAACTGGTTCAGGTGTTGGAGCATTTGTTACTCAAAGCTTGAGGGATGAGTTTCCACATTCCTTTATAATGAATCAGGTGAGATATGCCAATAATCATTGTTTTTATGGGTATTAACAGTACTCAGTCTGAAATCATTATGCAAGGGCACATGTGTCAAACTCAATGCCCGCGGGCCACATCCGGCCCGCCTTACAATTATATCAGTGCCACGAGGTCTTGACTGACATACACTTATATCCAAGTCAACGCTATGGTATTTCCAATACACACTCTGCTGAAAATCTTAGCTGACTTTGCACTGAGTTCGCACTGCGCTTTAGTTACTTTCAAGCACAGAAATGTAATTTCGAGTTGTTTCATAACCCATTTGTCATAGACGTGGAAACTGCACGTGTAAATTTGCAGATGGAGCTAATAGAGCTGCAGTGTAATGGGGCACTGAAGGCAAAGTACGACACAGTTGGGCCTGCACGATTAACTCCTTTCATTCCTGAAGAGATGCCCCAGCTTCATCTACATGCAACTCAAACCTTGAGCATGTTGGATAGCCCATATATATGTGAGCAGTTATTTTCTGTGATGAAGATTAACAAAACATCACACAGGAGTCATCTCACTGATGAACACTTCTGTTGTTATGAGAATCTCTATGACACAGCACGTTACTTCCAACACAAACAAACTTACTTGTTCTTTGTAGCCAAGAAAATGTGTCCAACATCCAGCTCTGACAAAGTGGCATAAGAACGAAAATGGGCATGCCAATGATTTTTAATTATTAAAACTTTTTTTCGTTTTCCTTTTTATAAAAGATTTTAAAAAAATATAAATTTTCCGCTTATTGAATGTTTATCCTTTTTGGCCCGCAACCTTACGTGTTTGAGTTTTGGCCCGCCAAGCGATTGAGTTTGACACCCTTGTGCTAGGGGATTATATTTTGGTTCAAATAGATTTCCTATTATGACACTAATTTCATTTTCAACAATTGGTGGGGTGGATAAATTGTAGTAGCTTTAATTACTTTTATATTATTTGAAATGTAAATTTTCTAATTATCACTGAAAATTGTCCAGACTTATCTTTTAAGAGATTGATAATTTTTAAAAATTCTTGCAGTTACATAAATATTCAAATAAAGACCTGGGTGATTATTTTTTAAAATTTAATTTTATCTGACACTTAAATACAAATAAAATATTTATTTATAAACAATACACTTTCAATCATCATTAGTGTTAAAAAATGTCAATATTATAGATTTTCAGACAATTGACCATTATCTAATGTCTTTCTTTAAATTAAAAAATTCCATTTTGTTCTGATGACAATTATGTCTGCTATTGCAGGTTGTGTGGCCTTACAGCACTGGGGAAATTATTGTACAGAATTACAATGCAATCCTTACATTGTCTCACCTTTATGACACAGCCGATGCTATTGTTGTCATGGAGAATGATTCTCTGCATAAGATATGTGCCCAGCTTTTAAATATAAAAAACATTTCCTTCAGGGATATCAATAAGGTTATAGCCCATAAACTAACCAGTGTATTACAACCTAGCGTCTGTTCTGATAATGGAGGAACATTAAACTGTGATTTAGGTAGGTTTTTAATTGTTAAGCTGATTAATTGAATCATTCCACATACATAAAGATTGTAAAAACAGGTGAATGATTTTGAAGAAACTGTCACCAATTATGTGTAATTTATTTACCAACTTTGTTGTGTTATGAGTTAGATGACTTAAAATACTTATTATTTTTCTTGATAATCTCAGGATATATGCTTGAACGTCTTGTTCCACACCCACAGCATAAACTGCTGACTGTAAAAAATATTCCCCAAATGTCAGACATTGCCAGGGAATTTAGTGTGTATCAGTGGCCAGGTCTAATGAAAAGTCTTCGTCAAATGCTCATAGCAGATGCCCCAATGGAAGAAGGTAATAATTTACTGCATATTCTGTTCTTTATTTACATTTTTTTACAAATTTGTAATAAATGAGTTTAATTTTTATGAGATTTTCATAGATAATTCAGTGAGTTACATTGACATGTTTTGTAGTTTATCTCCATTTAACCCTTCTGTCACTGGAAGGTTGTTTGAACAGCAGTAAAAAATAATGAACTGTATATGAAAAAAATCCAGTTGTAACTCATCTTTTATAATGGGACTGCCATACTGTTTACTGCTCTTGCTTAATACCAATGTAGTTTAATTGTGTCTTTGCCTGTTTCAACTCAACTGTACTGTATATGTTACAAATGTCCACTCTGTGTTAAATCCTCACACTTGTATCAGTTCCTTGAGACTCCAGTTCCTCAGTTATTGAATTTCTTTAGCACTATTGCAACAGTTTTCTAACTATAGCTTTTACCCTGGTCAGCTATTTCTTGGTCTCTATCTACTTACTTTTTATTTGCTATGAAATTTAGACACAAAATTTTTTAATAATACATTCCTTCAAGGAATGGGCCCATTATTGAATTATGTGAAAGTTTAAAAGTAGATCTGTCAAAATTTTTTGTACCAATTTGTAGGAAATAGTTATTTTCTGAAATTAGAACATCTTAACAGCTCGAAAATAATTTTGTACAACAATTTGTATCTTGTTCAGGTATAAACTGGGAGGTAAAACCAGCAACTCGAACTTCAAGTGGGCACACATGCTTCAACAAGTCACTGTCCACTATGCTTTTTCTGCGAGGAAAAGATTCTTCAACTATTGATGCATCCATGTTTTCCGATCCCAACATCTATACGTCCTGGATGTCCGCAGAATTGGCATCATGTGTCTCTCGGCAGCCAAGAATGTTCTGTGACTACGACAAGGCGGCAGCATTGGTGAGCAACAGTTGTGCAGGTGTCAAGCCACTCAACTGTATCATGCAGAAAGCCTGGAACATGTTTTCATCCAGGGCTTATGTTCACCAGTACCTGAAGCATGGTCTGAGTGAAGAAGATTTTCTGGATTCATTTGTTAGTTTAGAGAAAGTGATAGCTGGCTACAACAATTTGTAGCAAGTATAGAGTTGGTGATTTTTTATGTTAAAGGCAGTTGTCAATTTGTATGTGAATTGAAGGCAGCACACAGTAATTGAGAGTAATGTAAAATAAAGCCTAAATTGAAACAATTCCTAAAAACTAATTTTTTCTTAAAAATCCTGCATATGCATTTTTGTTTGCATTTATGTAATTGTACATGATTTATTAAGATTAAGAAGCGGTCATGTAAGTGCAGACCTGTTTACTCTTACGATTTTGGCGTACAATGTACGATTTTGAGGTGTATACATCATATATGCTGTATGTTTATTTTTACTATAAATATGACGTGTTGAACGATTTTGTGATGATGTTGTACGATTTTAAGAGTTTGAGGATAAACAGGTCTATAAGTGGGAAAACTTCTGGCGAAAACAAGTTACATATTTCATTGATTTTCCCATTCATATATACATTTTATTTTTAATGCACACCCTAATACAGGGGTCTCAAACTCAAATCGGCTGGGGGCCGCAGGAGGTGGAGTCTGAGTGAGACTGGGCCGCAACAAGTATTCCACAAAAAAGAGAGTACAAAGTCAATAAAGTACAATGGTTACAATCTGCTCCAACCTTTATTAATAACAAATAAAAACGTTAAGGGTTCTCAAGAACTAGGCTTCACTTTCTTCCTGCTACTCATTGTTGCTGGAAACTGGAAGCGCTTCTTCTTACACAGCTGAGCAACATTTGGCTTGAGTGAGGAAGCTTGAAGATGCTCAACAGTAAGTTTGGCCCTGAACTTTGACTTGTTAAAGTTTATAGGGGAAAAGAGCTTTTCACACAGATAGGTACTCCCAAAAAAAAAGCACATTATCCGCTTCTGGAAATCTCAGGGAAGGTGGAGGGCAATGCTCTCATAAATTGTCCATGCTTGTCTGTTTTTTCATTCACTTAACACAGCAGAAACATTCTTTCCCCCCCCCCCCCCCGGAAAAAAAAAAACCGATTTTTTGGGGGGGGGGGGGGGGGGGGGGGGGGGTGAAATTTTTTTTTTTATTCCCCTAAAACCCCAGAAAAAATTTTTTCCCCCCCCCCCCCCCCGGAAAAAAAACAACTGATTTTTTGGTGGGGGGGTGGGGTGGTGGTGGTGGTGAAATTTTGATAGGATATGTTGTCATTGGCAACATGCGCCAAGTTTCAACTCAATAGGATGACGGGAAGTTGGTCAATTTGCTTCCCCTTGAAAAACAGGAAAACTGACGTTTCTGGTAGGGGTGAGGGACTTAAAATTTTATACAATGTGTTGTCATCAGCAAAAAGTCTATGTGGTAAGTTTTAGCGCAATATGATGATGGGAAGAGGGTCATTTAAGCCTTCAGAAAATATTTGCCACAAACACACGAACAAAAGCGAAGTTAATATCAAGTATTTAAAATTTTAGAAAACAATCTGGGTATGGACAAGTAATCATATCCATTTGTTTAAAAGATTATTACAAAAAAATATCAACTTCTGCTTTACTCATAAACAGTCTTAGTTCCTCTACCATTGTGGAGTGCATTGGACTACCCAGTACACACAATTTCTACTTCAGTTCTGATGTCCATTTATCTACGTCCTTTTGAAATGTATGGCTATAGGTAATATAAATTAGAATGTATAAATTTCTGTAAATGATACAGATGTTATATAAATGCATTGTACAAAAAAAAATTCATTTTAAAATAGGTTAAATAAATTTGTATTATTTAACAATTCTTTTTTTTTCATTTCAAAAATAAAATGTGCTGGTTTTAAAGTAATTAGTAAAGTTTGTGCTTGTTCCATTTTTGCTTTCAACCTTTGCACAAATCATTTACAAACAAATTAATTATCAAGCAACATTTCATTTTAAGATTGAGAAAGTTTTTTTGTTGTTTTTAATCCTGATATGTCCAGATACCTTCATAAATTGACAGTCACCAGTTCATCATAAGCACTCATACATCTTAAATAATCACATTTGGTGCACTAGCAATAAATTAGACACATCATTTTTTTTTTAATACACTATTTTAACACACATGTATTCCCAACATTTTAGCCCCCCCCCCCCCCCCCCTTATATTATATAATTGCAGGTTTTAAACAGATTATAAAGATTTGATATGTGAGGTTGAAATTTTATAATATAATTTTAAAAAATTAATTTTACAAACATATTTTTTGTAAAACAATATTATTGTAAACATGAATAAAGCTTGGGGAACAATAACAAAACCTGACACAGCATAATGTCAACAATAATATTTGTGCTCTCTTTTGAGTGGAAATGTTGTTGAACAGATTGCCAAATATTTATGCCTATATCACAAGTGTTTTTTTCTGTTTAAACTTAAAAATCAGTCTAATTGCATTAATTTGTGTCTGTTGAGCAGATACCACAAACTAAAAATTGCTCTTACGACTAGGGTTTCAACAAATTTAAAATGATACTAATGATAGTCATTATAAAAAAATGTTTACTTGATTACACATCAACTTGTAACATTATGATTATAAATGTAAAACACTATCAGCTTGAGCTTTTGTCTACTGAATCTAGAAATTTTTTGACTATATTCACAAATTCAAGAGGCTTCTCTGCATGAACAAAATGGCCAGCTTCTTTTATGGCAGTGATTTCAACATTAGGAAATAGCTTTTTGATGCTTTCAATTGACGCATTCCTGTGAGGGGGGATACAATCATTTAATTACTAATTATTTTAGAATTTTATTGGTGTGCAAATCATAGAATAGCATGGATACAAGTGCTATATAAGTATTCAATCAATAATGTCAGATATAAGAATAAAATATAATTTAACGATTGAGCTTTTAACGACATTAAACCTTTCTCTGCATAACTTCAATTATTAAGTTTATTAGGTACCCGGCATTAAATTTTATAATAGAAACATTTCATATTCCTATTAGTAAGATTAATTTAGTGGCATAACTGAACAATAAAGATTAATAATAGTAAAAGAACTAAGACAGTTTCCATTTACAGAATTTATCGCATTAGAGTAATACTACTACAGGTTATTCCAACTTGAAGTAGTACCTAAAATTATTTTTATGACTACTATACCTATAGTGGAGTGAGTTGGCTCCAAACACAAAAAGTGTTGGTTTCATAAATGGATCAGAATTCATTCGTGGGAATTCTTCGATGTGAGAAAAATTGTTCAGGATTCCATCAATGTTCATTCTCCACTTGATGACAACACCATCAAACTCCCTGAGGTTGGTCAACAGAAATTGTAGCACAGCTCGATTCTGGGAAATATAGAATATATTAAATTTAAAGTAATATACCTTAATTTTCCTTGTTGTCCACTTAAGTACACTGTATATTTCAAGCCTGAAGTTTTTAGGATAATTCAGTCAATACTCAAAATCATCAAGAAAGCAGCTGGAAAAAGGGCTTTTCTTTTTTAGTACCCCAGAAACATGATGCTCAGCAGGGAATTCCATTGGAAATGTATGAAAGTATGCAAGGCTAATGTTTTTTTTTTAAAAAATGCAAAATTGTTGTTCAGACTTCATTTACCTGTACTACTGAACTGAGCTGAACTTGAATCTCTTTCCTCACTTGTGCAATGGAAATACCAGAAGGAATTTCAACTTTTTTCATGGCCTCAGCATATTTCAGTAGTTCACTGACATCACTTTTTGCAGGCGTGACATCAACCACAATTAGTGCTGTCAGCCTATCTGGCTGTAAAGGGGCATAAGATTTGCATTCAGCAATTTTGTGATTTCATAAAATGTATGGCTTTGTAAATTTCAGAACCGTCAATACACCACTAGATAAAAATCCATGTGGTGTATCAGCCATGTCAAGGGTAAAAGTTCAGGTCATGGAATATAGTGGATATATTTTGCATGAGGAATAATCCTTGACTGAGTTTATGCAATAATAATAAGTTAATAACTGAGGTTAAATGGTTAAGGGGACTTTATTTTACCCAAGAGGAATGGACAACATTTTCATCAAAGTCAAAATTCAAATAAATCATACCTTTATCCTCAAATATAAGTAATTAACTATTAGGAGTTCAATATTTGCAAGAACAGATTAGATACTGTTACAAGTACATAGTTAGGCATTTAAGTATATCATTACTTCCACAATGATTAAACAAACTTCAAACTATTTTTTCTATGTTTATAAATTTCAGTGTTTAAGAGTTTTGTTAAATCTATTTATTACATTCTTGAATTGTTCGGGTCTGGTATAGTTTTTATTTATACTGCAGCTTGAATGCATTTGGGAATTTCTACTTGCTAAAAACATAAATGCTGAGTGAATGAGTCCTGCCTTTCTACTACTTAATTAACATGTTGATCACTCAGTCACTCTTCTTATGCAAGATAAATAACAAATAAAACAAACCTTTGATAATGCAAATGTCATAGCAGTTTTCCCACCCATACTGTGCCCCATAACAACAGGTTTATTCAAATTTAGGTCCTGTATTAAGCCATCCAAATCATCAGCCATACAATTATAATTCATTTCTGGATCATGTTGACTCTCACCATGATTACGAGCATCATAAGTGACAACCTGTTGTGGTAAAAAGAGAATATATTATTATATTGTAAATTTTAGTCTCAATTTCTGGAAAAAAACCATTATTTTCAATAGCACATTTCTCTTAAAATAGAAAACTACTTATTTATTTGCTAATTTTCTCTCTTCTTCACTTTCATTTGTATGTGTATGCGTGTATATTACCATGAATTAAAGTAATTAGACTGTTCGTTTTGTAATTAAAAAATGGGAAAAAGGCACACAAATATTAGATGTTTCTTGAAGTTGAAGCATTAGCACTCCATACTTAATTTCTTAAAATGCCCTACTAATGACAAAGCCTACCTTTCTACCTTCTCCTGATATGTGCTTTGAAACGCTGTGTAAATTTCCCTTTGCTCCAAACAAACCATGTAGAAAAATAAGTGACCTTTTCTTAGGATCTATGTTGTGTTCGTGATCAGGATAAGTTGTATAGGACAACTCAACACTGAAAATGTTTAACAACATTTTTATTAATATTTAGAATAAAATATACATCGTAACATACATATTACACTTGTTACTTATACAGTTTTTTGTATGTTTTCTAAATGCTGATTTGCCAAAACATTGGTTCTCCCAACAGCTCCTGTCCTTTAAAATTACTATTATTATGGCAGGGAATAATTGTGTACAAACAATGCTTTCCCTTGTCTCACAAGTCAAAGGTAAAATTTAAATATGAACTGTTCATGCAGTGACCAGACTGGGATAATGTGATCAGCAAACTGTTAATATTATTATGGATTACAGATTAAATAATACAGGCCTGCAACGACAAAGTGACCTTGGATTTTATTCTAAGCACCATTCATATATTTTTGAAGGCAACCTTTTTTATGGAACAAAGCAGCTAACTGTTATTATTTGTGCATTATGGTTAATACACTGTAAAATACAGCACCGAACATATATTGCTATAACTATAACTATAAGGCAGGTAAGTTCAGTGGCATAGGAAAGAGAGGAGGAAGTGGCCAGTCCTGGGTGTTTACTTTATATTTTCAGCCAACTGCAGAGTTTTTTTTCTTGAAAGGGTGGCGGCAAACACCTTGGCCCACCCATGACGACCATGTGGCCTTTATCCTAGTAATGCGACAAGGTAAGATAATATTGTTTTCTATGCACTAAGTAAGGTCTTTAATGCAACCTTTCTGTGGCAGCATTTGGTTATGCAGAACTTTTTTAACCTGAAACTCCCAATTCAATTATCATCAGCTATGTAGGGCTCTGGACTGCTCCGGCTCCATTGCATCCTTTCATTCAAATCGGCCCCCATGGCCCATGGCTTTATGCCTCCATGTGTGGACCCCGGCTGATGTAAATAATGTAATTCTAATACTAATAGGACTAGTGCATAATAATATTATAATAGACCTATATTGATGGATTAGTAGACCTTAAGCCTAAGCCTTAACTTACTAGCTTAGCCTCACTCTATACTCTATGGCCATGGCCTTATGGGGCCTCCTTCGACTAAGAAGAGATGGTAACTTTTTACTTGATTAAATCCCAATATAAAATATATGTCTTTTTTAATGTATTTTAAATTTCATAATCATAATAATCATATGAACATGATAAAAAAAAATTTTTTCCCATACATTACCATTATTTAGTATTTAGGTTAGTCTTGTGGACTGTGGAACTAGATATTATATAAAAAAGGCCCTGCCTAATAGGACATTATTAGAATTTGAATAGACCTATGAAATATAGAAAGTCTGGACTGGATTGAGTCTTAGTCTTAGTAGAGGTGAGTTGAGTAGAGAGTGGAGAGTAGAGAGAGTGTGGTGTAAAAGTAAAGTAGATAGTCTAGTTGTCCAGACTAGCTTTTGGCTTTGGCTTTGGCTTTGGTAAATTTTAAAGTATTTTTTTATCGTAAAAAACTTACTCTTTCTTAGTAGCCGTCGGTGTGGCATATTGTCTTAATAAATGCACATTGATAAGTGTGGTTAAATTATTAAAAGAACACAATCTTGCGTTTATTGTGAGAAGCCGAAATTGTGTAATAAGTGACATTTTATCACGCTAGATAGTTTGTTGTCAACATGAACGTGGATTTAGCGAAATAAGGTGAAATTTTCGGACATTTTCGGATATGTGACTGTTGGAAATTAATTACGAGTGACAGCCCTTTATGACGTTCCATAGTGGTTGCCAGTGTAAACTACAGTTTACAAAAAGAAAAATTGATGTTTGTGATTGTGTATTAAATTGATGCTGAACAATACTGGAAAGAGTTTTCGCCATGTCAAAAGCTAAAGTCATTATAGTCGGACCAACAGCGGTAACTAACAATACACATACATACCTGATTTTAAACCATAATTACTCATGAAATTTGAAACTGAAACACTTTACTTACTAAACTAAAGACTGTTTAATTTTTTAAAACTTTCACTAATATTAATAATTCAATATTTGTCTAGTTTGGGAATGAATATAATGGGATGTTTAAATGTTACTGATTCAAGATTGGCATATGATTTAATATCATATTCATAATATAATTTTGGCAATCCCCCAAAGTCCAGTCCCAAATTATTTTGTATGAAAAAAATTGCAATGCATAGTGTGTATTGTATTGTTAGAAAACAGCAGAAATGTCAGTCATAGCTTTTGCAAATAACTGCCACTTTGCAAACCAGTCAGTAAATACTAAATGTTGCAAATAGCAGCCGAAAACGTTCTGCTTGTGACTGTTGCGCCACTAAAGGCCCCAAGTAGCTGGCAAACAGACCACAGCTAGTACCATTCTGATAGTGGAGTTTATGTTTTGCTTGCATTCAAAGTCCTTCAATTGTTTCTGTGTGAATGTCCTGGTCTACTAGATCAACAAATTCATGTGCGTGGACCGTGACAGCATGAGCATAAATCCGGTTGTTGAGCTGAGCGACATTTTGATATTCTTACCAAGCGTCCGTGATGATACTTGTCCCTGGTAACACATGATTAGTGATAATGCACTTGAGTGTTTGTGAATCTCAAGGGCCAACAACCTCCATCCAACATTGTCCACTACCACACTCAACCAAGCCGACAACCCACTTACCAACGCTTCGCTGTGATATTTTCTATGGAAAAAGTAACTCTCATCCATCTCAACGAAAACAGACTGGCTGTTTGCATCAAAGCCTCCCAGCAGTTGATTGGTTGTCAGCATCCATTGACAACATTCCTGACAAAGATAGTTGTTATAGTTGACGATAGCGTCCCAGCTAACCAGACACTCGAACAACATAATGTGTTTACACTTGACTTCGTAAACCCTATAATACATGATCATAACTATTTTTCAGTTGTTAGATCGCAGTCTACAAAGAATGACCCAGTTCTAACACTACTGCAGGTGTTGCATGGTCAACAACGCCACGAAAAACCGTCTCGCATTCCGCATGAGTGACTAACGCCATTGGGCACCTGCATGTTCCACAATTAAAGTTGTTTCTGATCAAGCGGTGTCGGGCCAGCCACTCAAACCATTCACGTTTGTTTGACATTACAGCATACAACTCACACGGAGTTACTTAAATTCCACCCAGTTGTGCTGCTGGCAAAATAACCGAACTAATACTAATCAGTGCAGCTGGTCTACCTGCCATAATTTAACAAATTTATCGAAATATACACAAACATGAATTTCATAACAAAATGAAGCCTAAGACTTTTAAGTAAGGAGTAATCATTGAAAATAATTTGGGAACAGACTTCCGAGGATTGCCTATACTTTCAGATATGTCATGATGACCGAAACTAATTTAGGAGTTTAACTGAATGAATCACTCATTGACTAATGTTGTAATACTAATACTAAAACTGATATTTATAAGAACACATATTGGGTAAATGTTAGGCATAGTTCAGGAAGCATAAAGGTCATTTAGTTCTGCTAGGTGGCTAAGTAGTTGATGTTACTTCTATTCAATATGTAAGAAATAATTAGTTGCACATTTATCAAAATTTTATTTGTACAGACTTTTGCTTAGCATCTCAATTTAATTTTTCACATCCTACATGCTTATGTACCTGTGATATGTATTCTTCAGGCTGGAAAAACATTTTTAAGCAACTTTTTAGCAGATGCCACAGAATTTTCAGGGGGTGAATATCATCCTACACAAGGGGTTCGGTAAGCTCTCTTTAAATGAACTATTAATTAGGCTAACTTCCTACTTTGAGATGGAATACAAACTAAATAATTTATATTAAAACTAAAGCAAAATTAAATCTCATTTGAAAAAAAAAAATAATTCACAGACAGTCATAGAATATCATTCTTTATTTTTACTATATATTTGACCTTAACTGGATATCGCCCACAACACAAGTCATTTAAATAGTTAAATGTGACCCTCATGTATAGTTAACGCTTATAGTCTTTTAATTAAGGTATATATACTTTTAATTTCTAAATCATATCTATTATACACATGACTCTTTATTGATACCCTTTTTTGCCCACAAGGTAGTGCCACCACCTTACAGATTGACTGCATAATTGCAGCCAACCATGGATTCATTCAAAATATTTGTTAAATCTTGTTATAGCAAACATCTATGTAAATTAAGGAAGCACATAATGAGTGTTACCCTGACGGTTGTACATGTTGTACTTAGTTCTAATTCAAAATCTACGTTCGATGAATATCTTTTCAAATATTGACAAGAAATATCTTACTTTATCATGAGTTCAATTCTAAACAAAATGCTGTCAAACTGAAATGCACAGCTAAATGAAAATCAAATTATATATTAGTGCTTTGGTAGAATCAGCCACACATTTTAAATCTTCATACATTTACAGAATAATTGAGTTTGAAACTAGTGCTTCCGAGACAGGGCGATCTTCAGTTGATGTTGAGCTTTGGGACTGTAGTGGGGACAAAAGGTAAGTTATAGTAAAAAATTTAGATAACCTCTAAAATGTAGAATAACGTAAGTTGAAAATCTCTAAAATGTAGGGTATTGGTAATTTAAAATGATGATGTTAATGGTAACCCTTGTTGGTATTGATTATAATTTTCATCATTTTTTTAAAATGCAAATTGTTCTTGTGTTTGTCAATTTTTTTTTTTTAAATGTTTAATTTCTTACTATGGACTTAATGAAAGTATTGTTAAGACTTTATTATATCTATAAAAATGTATCTTCTAAATTGATAATACTTTTAACTTTTAAATTTTGATGATCCAGTCTGTTGATATTTTACTTAAGCCAGTCATTATGGTGCATTATAGTTTCCCTTTATGATATGTTTGGTTTCTGTCAATTACTTCAAATATTTATTGGCATTAAGGTCATACATAGTTCAATAAATTCACTTCACTTTAGTTTTTAAATTTAAAGCATTGCAATAGCATAAGAAATCCAATAATTACCAGAAAATTTCCTCATTAGGTAAAAAAAACACACCACTTATTGCTCAAAATAAGTATTAAATACCTTGAAATTTTATAGTTATATATTTTTGTTATATATTTTTGTTTGAAGCTGTTATTTTATTGAATGTATAATGTTTTTTTTTAAGGAACAATATTTATTTACATAAAATTTTCATTTAATTATCATTGTAAATCCACAGGTTTGAAGCATGCTGGCCAGCCATGGTTAGAGATGCAAGTGGTGCTGTTTTCGTCTATAATCCTGACCAGCCAAATCATGATAAGGAGTTAGACACATGGTTAGTATATGCATATTATTTGTATTATATTTTTGTCGTTTTGATATTTGTGTCATTAATCCAAAATTAACAAGTGTTATTATTATTTTTTTTTTAAATCTAACACACTTAGTCAAAATTTGATCAGTTGAGGCCAGTAAGTCTATTCTGATGTTACCTAAAGATTAACTCATCTTTATTAATTTTAATATTAATAATTATAATTTTTGAAGACTTTCTCTCTACTTGCACTTCCATCTTGTTTGCTGTAATTTTTTTGTTTACGCACCTGACTATTTTGCTCAGTCAATAGTGGATCATTGCTTCTGCTTCATTCAGTGAACAGCTGTCTTTGGGATTTTTTTTAGGGGTGGTTCTGAAGGTGTTAGGGGCAGGCCATGTGGTAATAATTCTAATTTTTTAAAATAATTTAAAGATTACAATTTTAATACTTAAAAGTAGAAAATAAAAAAAAGAATTTGAAAAAAAAAGGACTATAGGGCAAAGATGAAATTAAACCCACTAAAAAACAGAAAATAATTGAAAATTTCATAACTTATAATGATAGTTTTTTTAAAACTATAAATTGAAAAGCCTTGTGTACTATTTTGTAAACACAATGCACATGAAGCCAATAATAACCCCAATACAAGTTTTGAACACAGCAACCTAAATGATGAGAAGCATGAGGCACAATGACAAGCATGGTATCTTGAGAGTTGTTCATGAAAAAAAAAAGTGTGTGTGTGTGTGTGGGGGGGGGGGTTGATAGGCATTAAATAACTAAATACAGACATGGTTAAATTGAACTTTCTCTGTGTTTAGCAAAATAAAAACGCAGTTAGATGTTCACATTCCTGAAGATTCATTACTGATTAGTGGACCGGTCCTATGTCTTGCAACCAACACTATTTATTGGCTTTGACTTTGATGACAACTTGGTACTTACATTATAACTGGAGCATTTACTGAGTTATCTCTCCTTAAGGTACTCCAGTGATTCCTAAACTGTAGTACTAGTCCCACTAGTGGTTTGATGCATTGTTCTAGTTGTTCATAGAGAATTTTTTAAAATGTAAATACCAACAATTTTATTCAGCCCTTAATTCCAGTTGCATGATGGAATACATAATTGTATTAGTCAATTAAAGTTGTACAATATGCCAAATTATTTTAAAATTTCCAATAAATAGTGACAATGATCTATGCTCTTTCTGATAGTTTACTGAACATGAGAGAACAATAAAAATTTTAAACTTGCTGTTTATGGTATTACTTGCTAATAACAGGTATTAAAACATGATACCTTTAATTGTTATTGAATCAGCATCATAGGTCAAAGGTGATAGAAAACACAGTAAATTTTAAAAATCCCTTTACATCCTTGAACTACAAAAATAATACCAATTACCACAAAAGTAAGTAATACTTTATTTAGCATAACAAATATATCAGGCTCATACCAGCAAGAAGCCAGTATAGGAGCTGCTCATTCCTGCCTAAGACAATCAGGGACTGGAACAATCTTTCAAAAGGAACGGTTGAGGCGACAACACTAGACACATTTGTGTCTATTGCCTCAAGCCTTCAAAACCCCTAGTGCATGATTTCCTCATCAAAACCAGTAACAGAACTATTGCAAATCCCATCTACATGCATAGGAGCCAAACTGATCAATAAATTGATCGTGGGCCCTTAAGATATAGAAGAAGAAGTGCGATTTTTTTTTTAATGGTTACCTAGCATCTGGAGTTTTACATGTCCATATTTAGATTGTTTTTTTAAGGTTGAGGTACTAATAAATTTATGTTAAAAGGGTGAAGAAGCATTTAAACGAAAGCCAATTAACATATTTAATTTATTTTATCTTTAAAGAAAACTTGATGTTGTTTTATTGCTCTTTAATACACTTCTTCTGTTATAGTTTTTTAGGGGACTTCTTACATGTATTGATGGTTATTATACCCATGACAGGACATTATAAATACCCTTGACAGGACATTATAACAATCTTATTTAGTAATTAATTTGTATTTTACTAATTTCTTACATTCATAAAAATGTAAGCTTGGTTGTTATGCAGTTCAAGAAATATATTTTTGGAGATGTGCTTTGTTGTGATATGTAGGAATACCATTGAAGGAACCCACTACCATTTATTCTTAATACATTATTAATTGTTTTAAAAAATTCTCTTAGGGCTCTTTAATTACATTTTATCCCATTTTAACCATTTACAGGCTCAAGGTTATTCAGGATCACACCAACATTAAGCCCAGGCAATGTTATTGTGTGGCTTTTAAAAAATACACAATATCCAAGAGAACTTTAAGCAGGCCCTGTGAGTGGGTTGTAGAAACTTTTTAACATTGGCTTGCTTAAAGTTACAGCACTGAACCACATGCTAATTAATAATAAATACATCATTCTGTTTTACATGCCATTTTAAATTAGAGTGAAGTAAATGGCATGGCATTAATTTAGATCACACATGGAATCTATACAAATTTCTCTATTGAATTCCTATGTAAATTTAAATATATTATATATTTAAAAAGCATTTTGTTTACTACTTCTTAAGTGAAGTTTTAGTTTAAAAATTTCTATTCAAATCATATTGGGTGGGTTTTAATATTTTGTTTATCCTGATATGTTACTTTTCCTATTTTCGAAGGAACACTCCTAAAATTTTACAGGCAATACTGACATTTATTTTTGTTTATGACAACATTACTAAAGTTTTAGACAATATTCAAAAATGAAATTAAACATTATAAGATTACATTACAAGTCTCATTTAATTAATTAATTTTTCCCCCATTTATTGAAATTTATTTGAAGCTATAATTTACACAAATCTTTTTTTCCCGTTCCATCTGCCAATCTGCTTCCATGTTGTCCCACCCACCACTCTTCACAGGTCTACAATAGCCTTTCATTTAAGAGCTATAAGTTAATTCATGCTATGATTATTGTTCCTGAAAACTGTTACATTATATTAGTTAAAGTAGTGTTGATCTACCATTACCATGTACTTATATTTATCATAGTTCTTCTCAAATATACTTTTTATAAATTACTACAGTAAATCTGAGTACATTACATTCCCATGGTATTAAAGAATTCCAAGAATAAATTCATCTTGAATGTAAATAACTTGTTTAAAAATTAAAGATTTTAAAAGATCTTGATGAGAATTACACTATGATCATGAATTGTCTTTTTTGTAATTACGGTATTTAATGATTTTTTAAATTTTATCTCCATTTCCAATTAAGTAATTAGCTGCCACAGACTTTTGCCCTTATGTTGCTTTTTGAAATTCCTAAAAATTCTGCTTTGATTATGATTCTTTCTGCCTTGCCATCAGCACAGATGCAGGTTATGTCATTTTAACACACAAGTTTTTTATCATGCCCACCCATACAAAAATTACTATCTGGCATGCTATGTTGTATCATGCTGTAAAGTTGTTACTTATTTCCACTGTTGCTGTGGTCACTACAGGTATAATTTTATCATCGGCAACCAGCATCTAAAAGAAGGCCAGTGCTACGTGTTTGCACACCACAAGCCTAACACCGCAGGTGAAGCCTCAGAACTTTGTAAGTAGAAATGTTATCATGTTAAATTTAACTAATCAGTTCCCATGAAAAGATCACTTCATTTATAATGTATTTGGCTATTATTCATTACAATATTTTACATTAGTCACTTCCAATAGTTTAGGGCCAGTGTAAATTATACCATAAAAACAGTGATTGTCTCTTGAAAAAGTAATTGCTCAGGTATAAGGGTTATTAGCAAGCTTAAAACTGTTTTAAATCACCATTAATGTCATTTTGATAAACCGTTTTTCATTCATTATGGTAAAGCATAAAGTTGAACGATCCAAAAGCAGGATTTCTGACACCAGGTGTTGAAATGAGTTACATCTGAATTGCAAATGAATGAACAGGTTACATATTATAAATCAAATCTGTCTTTGAATAAAAAAAAAATATTTTTCATAATTTTTTGTAATTCATATTCTTAAGTAGTCATTGTTTCCTACAGTATATTTATATTAATTATAAATAGCTTTGAATTTATATTCTATGCTAATGCTATATATTCTATTGCAATTGAGAAATTCAGTTTATTGCTATATCTCAAAAACGCTAATTTTACAATGAAAACATTTAAAAGTTATTTTATCATTTAATCTATATCAGTATCAGGGGTTCTTAACCTGTGAAAAGGTTGAGGAGCTCCGTGAACTGCATTTTCTTTATAACTTTATTATCTTATCTTATATGCATTAAAAAAAAAATTTCCAATAATTTTCATGGAGTAAAAAAGGTTAAGAACCGCTGATATTTGCTGACATCGACAGCTGCACAATGCTTCTTTGCCCCCAAATATGCCGGCTTTTGAACTTTCTCCATTGCTTTGCATGATCAGAATGATAAATAATAATAATTAATTATACACATTTGTTTTTGTTTTTTTAATGCCACACAGCCAACAGTTTCAGCAGGATTCCACAAATTCACACCAGTCTAGATGAGGATGCAGAGGCAGTGAGGCGAGAGTTCAACCGATTCCTCTTATCCCTAGTCAAGGCGATGTCTAGCAACCGAGAGCAGGAGGAACTGAACATTATGAACCAATAAGCTCTTGCTTGTTAGATATCCTCTGATATTTTTTTTTTTATTGATCAATCTCTGGGAAATATTTTTGCATTATGTAAAATTATCTGTGAGCATATAACTTGTCAGTGGGGAGGTTGTTACCAGAATACATTTAAAAAAATGCTGTTGATATTTTGTTTACATCAAAGAGAGATAAATTTCTAGAATAGATCTATACTTATTTTCTATATGCTTATGTATTTCCACATTTTTCTTTTACTTAAGTTTGTTTTAATTTAGTTAATCAAAAGCTACCTTTAGAAAAAGTGTTATTCAAAGGGGAGAGTTTTTTTCTATTCATGGCTTGTAAGTATGTAGACTAGGAATAACATTAAGCTGACTTAGCTTTCAGATAAGCACCACAGGGAAAGGGAATACAAAACATGTTTCTTCATAAAGCACTCTTCAGCAAACAACAATTAAAAAACAAGATAAATGATAAATAAAATCATCTGAGCTCACAGGAAGCTTTGTCTGATGCAAGAAGAACTCAACTTTTATTCTTTTATTTTTAATAAATGCTTATTTCCAATTTTGTTTTACTAAAGATTATTTTAAAATTATTTTATTTTATATTTTTGATCAATCTGGTGGCGTAGCTAGGAATTTAGGGGCCCTGGGGGCTTGGCCTCTTTAGGGGCCCCTGCATTTTGACATTCGACATTATGTAATGTAAAAAAAAAAATTCGGATATGCCTTTTGGGGCCCCCCTCAAGTAGGGGCCCGGGGGGGGGGACGGACTTTCGAATTTGGACCCCTCCCTCTCCCCTAGCTACGCCACTGGATCAAACGCTACTTTTAAGAAAAACATTAAAGACTTCAGCTCTAATCGTATGACAGAGTTTTTTTTTTTTAGTCATTAGTTGTAAGTATATAGACCAAGATTCAGGAATAAAATCTAAGTTGACTAACTTGTAAGGTAAGGACCACAAGGAATATCAGCAATTGAAAAAATAGATGCCATGAACACAAAGAGCCCTCTTTGGGGAATAACAATTAAAAATGGAAAATAAAGAAATCTTAGCCCTCTAGCCGGAAACTGTCTAGACTAAGAAAAAAACTGTCATCTCTGAATGGAAAATATTTCTGACTCCAGCTTAATTTAATGACCACATTCCATGATTATTTTTCCCTGGCTGTGTGGGTCACAGCAGAATAATAATATAGTACAGCTTTTATTAAAACATAATTGCAGAAGCAATATCAGGACACAAAATAATGACATCTTTGTTGGTGTATTCATGATCTTAGATTTTACAGCTTTTTTGATGATTATTCTAAAATTATTATTTCAATCATGAATAAGGCAAATGTAAGTCTATGGACCATCATTAACTTTAGCTGGGATTTGAGTGAATTGTCTTATAGACAATGTAAAAAGGCTGAACATTTTCTTGAAAAAAAACACCACATATTTTCTATCAATAATCTTGTATTATTTTTTATCATTAATTAATAAATTTCCACTAACTCTTAAACTGGGTGCTTATCAGTTCAATCAGTGCTTTGGACTATTTAGTACTCTGAACAGTCTCATGTCTTATCTTGCTGTGTCATCTGCCTCTATTAATTCAAAACACGGCTTCTCAATCTGCCAATCGGCTGGTACTCGGTATATGAAAATAGTTGGTCACCAAATTTGCCTTTAAAAAAAAACTTTTAAGTTTTAAAGATTTCCAATTGTATTCAAAACATGTTGAATCATTGTTTACAAAAAATGTGTATATTTATTATGTAATTTTTAAAAATTGGGTGGGGGGGAGTGTTCCTTGATAAAAAGTAAGAGTTTAAGTAAGTAACACTTACTTATCTAATTCTAATGAAGTGCTAATTGTTTCTGTGTGCATTTAATGCCATCCAAACATGAAGGTATACAAAATCATACCCATATTTTCTAAAAGATTACTATCTATTATTTTCACAATAAAAGTAATGATGTAAAAATCTCCAGCATTTCTCATCTTCACGTTATGCACTGTATTTATCAGATAAATTATTTGTTAGACTACATGAAGTACAAAAATATGAAAAAGACATTGGCCACAATCAATATCATGCCAGTTAGGAGGGCGGTGGTGCATGTTTTAAGGTTCTGGGCAAATAAAGAGACTTTCCCACTTGGATCTGGTATGTGGGGTAAAACATGGCTACCTGTGTTTTGGGATTTATTTAATCCTTTTTTTTTTAAAATTTAATTAAAGCAGTCAATGCAACATTCATTTCAATCAAAGCAGTCATTGCAACAATCATTTTTATTAAAGCAGTTGTTATGTAGCATAAATTCCCCGTGCTTGAATTTTGCTTGACCCAAATTAGATCCCTAGCAGACGTTAGCGTTTGTTGTGGGTGTGGCCTATTCGTTTGATGTACCGTATCTTGTTTGCAGCCGTGTTTACCAATTAAACATGTTAGACTGTCTCCTGGTATTTTGTAGAATGATCTCGATTTGTTCTAGAAAAGTAAAGGCGTTTTCTAGACGCGTCGGTAGACCCACATAGATAAAGGATTGACAGGCTCGGAGGGAGAGAGAGAGAGAGAGAGGGAGAGATTCAGACGGAGATTCAGATAGGTTTTATAACGTTACGAGACGTGTATTATTCTGTGTGTGCTTATATGTGTTTATTCGCATTCTTCATTCATTGGCACATTGTACTAATTGTGTACCGGTACCAGTTCTACCATACTCTGTAAGTTGATGATTTGTAATTATATTTCTTTTGGTAATAAGTGTATTATTACTGAATTTAATCTTATTAATTGTAATTGGTACTGTTTTGGGTGTCGTACTTGTGTTATTGTATTTCTATATGGAATCGTCCTTTGTTAGGCACTGTATTAACGAGCTTTCAATTTAAAATAGGAGATTAATTTCTCCCAATACAAGTCAGTGCGTAACACAGTCAATGCAACAATCATTTCAATTAAAGCATTCAATTCAACAATCATTTTAATTAAAGCAGTCAATTCAACAATCATTTTAATTAAAGCAATCAAAGCAACAATCATTTTAATTTAAGCAGACAATGCAGCAATCATTTCAATTAAAGCAGTCAATTCAACAATCATTTAATTAAAGCAGTCAATGCAACAATCATTTTAATTAAAGCAGTCAATTCAACAATCATTTTAATTAAAGCAATCAAAGCAACAATCATTTTAATTTAAGCAGACAATGCAACAATCATTTAATTAAAGCAGTCAATGCAACAATCATTTCAATTAAAGCAGTCAATGCAACAATCCTTTCAATTAAAGCAGTCAATTCAAGAAACATTTCAATTAAAGCAGTCAATGCAACAATCCTTTCAATTAAAGCAGTCAATTCAACAATCATTTTAATTAAAGCAGTCAATGTAACATTCATTTCAGAGTTAGAAAATTATGGGGTTGGGTAAAAAATCTGTTGTTTAAAAAAAATTTTTTTGATAAGTTGTTGGAAAATGTGTGGGGGGGGGGGGGGGGAAAAAAATGATTGAAGGACCACACTTTAGTTAGACAAAGCTTTGATAGTAAGCCATGGTCTCCTCATTCGCTGTCTGCTGTTAGTTTAAACTGAAACTGATAACTTCCATGCGTTCAAATATTCCACGTGGTCAAATAACAATACCATCATTAAAAAACATTAGGCCAGGCTAACAATCCGCAGAATATTTAAGCCCAGGGAACACCCTCATGAAGCTTTATGTGCAATCAAGAGAGAGGACACGTTACTGATGGTATTATGTTGTAAGCGAATCTATGCGGGCAGAAATCAATCAAAGCCTTTGGTTCAAAACTAACCAAGGTGAAGGTTGGTGCATGGTCACCATTTCCTTACCCAGATCAGCAAAGGTTGGTGCAGGGGAGGTTACCATTTCCATACCAAGACAATCTCATGCAGCGCTGTCCAATCCGCGAGCCGCCATGCGGCCCTCCAGCTCGTTTTGAATGACCCGCCACATGTTGAGCAATTTTTATGTGTGTAGTGTGAAAATAATTCGACATTTTAGGGTGACCACATGACTAAGTATATTGTTGGGAAATCGCATCAGAGCACGGGAGAAGTTGTAACATGGAATTAGGGGGGACGTCACAAAAAGCGAAGGAGTGGGATGGCTTGACAGGAAGCGGTATTAAATGTTCAGCAGAGCAACCCTTTGGAAACTTGTTCGACATCAAATCGGATACTATCTTCTCACTCTTTCTGGTGCTAGTACATGGGGGGGGGGGCGTCAAGGGGTATCGGGTATAATTACTAACAGCGCTGGGAAACATGAGTTGGGCCACTTGATGTTTAGCTAATTCGCCATTGTAAAAAATGTCCATGCCCCCACCACCATCGGGACCAAGTTAGATGAAATAGATAGGTCAGCATAACGACTTAACCGCTCCCAAAAAGTCTTCGGTTCAGAGTAATCGAGATGGGAGCTGGGGTACTAAGGATGTCACAATAGAATGACTACGGGGACAGTGTGAACTATTTATGGTCCCCATATTATTTGTACATGTAGTCTAGCCAGGTATGGGAGAGGATGTCTCCATCCTGTATTGTTGTGACGTTGGGGACAAGTACCTGGTATCCAGAAATCCGAGTATGTAAAACTGTGAAATCCTGACGACAAACTATTAAAAATGTATTTTTAAATAATTATAATTTTTCAAAAAATGACATTAGGAGGTGTAAATTTTACCGGGCATAACGCCGTGTGGAAAATATTTCTTGAGAAACGCTGCCATACGCATATCTGGATTAGTAGGTACACGATCGTAGCCCGAAAGCTAGCTTTACAAGTCACGGGTCAAAGGCAAAGGTCATTAAAATTTGAATAAGTTGCTTGACAGGCGTAAACATTGGTGAAACCAGCGGCGTATGGTGACGTCACAGTCGTGACCGATTCACAATACGGTAAACAACTCTATCGAAGAAGCCCCTTTTAATTAATACTACAATGACTGTAGAGTAAGGGTATTTATATAACATTGTAATCCCTTTAGATCAGGCCCGCACAACTCAAAATGTAAGGTGGGCCGTAATACTTTATGAAAAACTTGTGCGGGCCTAAATAAAATAGGTCAGGGGGAAAGCTATTAAGAAAATAATGAGAATAAAGAATATTTCGTTACTTCGCGGGCGGTAAAGTGGGTGCTGGTGGGCCACATGCGGCCCGCGGGCCGTATGTTGTGCACAGCCTGCTTTAGATTATTAAAAAATTATTATATTATATACGCAAAAACATTGTTTTTTAAAGTATTTTTTTGCCGGCTCACCGATTTCACGTCTCCTTTTCAAGTCAAAGTGGCGCCCATGGCACGTGCCGTGTTTTGCCACACCCGCGGTACGCCTCTGGACATATTACATAACTATTATTATGGCTGTCACGGAGACAGAATATACGCTACCATTGCAAATATAGTAGATTTGTTAAATCTGTCAATCATTTTTTTCTTTAAATAATGTTTAGCTAAGGGGAAAAAAAAAAGAAGGGGTATTCCTATAGAATTTGGTGCAGTGGTAGGTTCTTATATATATGATCAACGCTGGTGCTATATTTCTAGCAAATGACTTTTGGAAAAAATGAATACTGAATCACAAATTGACGCAACCCCCCCCCCCCTTCCCCAATAATTAAAAAAAAAATCGAAAATCGGAACTTAACATGAACAAATAATAAAATTGAAAAATATAAAAACACAGTCTCAGTCCCTAGTATTAAGAAAATAATTGAAAATATAAAAACGCAATTTCAGTCCCTAATATTAAGAAAAACTTTGAAAATTATAAAGACGCAATCTCAGTCCCTAATATTAAGAACATAATATTTATAATATTCATTAGGATGTCCGATGTGTAAACAAGTAGTTAATTTATGCAATTATTACACATTTATTTCTATTTTTAAGTAATATGATTTTAAAAAATAATATTGTGCTATTTATGTAATATTCCATTTTAAGACAGTTTTTCTAGCATTAGAGCAATAGTTTATCAACTGTTCCGCCCCTGACCTAGAATTAAGTTTTCAATCTAGAACAAGGTCAAACAACAGCCTAACTAGTGCGTGATTCTCTTTTCCTCAAGCAATGGAGGCGTGGACGGTTTTGAATGCTTTCATTGGTTAAAACGCTTATTTTACAACCAATCAAATAACAAAGATTTGGAGGTGTGTTACCATTTAGTTGGAGAGGCATTATTTTGCAGAACACTTCAAATCATGGTAGGCTTTTAATAATTATTGTTTCCGAATATTGTTTATGATAATCGATGCTAATCAAATTATTGCATATTAAATACATTTTTAATCTTTATTTGCAGACTACCTACACCGATAAAGGTCCAAAGGTAAGCGAAAATCTTATTTATATTTTAAGTAACTTTGCCAACTTGTGCACTCATGTTTTTGTAATAAAAATCGTCCTTGACATTTTGTGACAATCTCTACCTGGGGGAAAAAGAAAATTGGACACGTGTTACTTATGGATTGACTTATTTTTCTTATCTCGTTTTCTCCATTCGTTATTTTCTATTATGCCTTCCATCAATATAGACCTACACAGGGCGATATTTGACTCTCGGTCTCGTCTATATTAAAAACAAACACAAAACTACCATATTTTCAGTCCGCACACTTTTATTTATTTGGTGTTTATTAGATAGCTTACTAGTCTATGAGACAGAAAAAGGATTACACTATCATTTGATTATTATGTTGGGGGACGAAGGCCGTGGCGGGGGGTGGAAGGGGGGGCGAAAGGGGCACTCGCCTCGGGGTCGAAATGCGTCTTCTGATAGAACATTAAATAGTGATTTAAACTCTTAAATCCTAGGATCTTCACCAAGAGAAAATTTTATTTTTATTGGTTGGCACTTTTTCCTCTATATAGGCCTTATTATTATAATAAGAGGCTCCACTTTAAGCTCTCCTCCGTGCGCCGCTTTTCCTCGGCACGACACTGTGGCGGGGGCTGAAAACAAGCTTCAAGAAGGGGGGAAAAAGCAAGTCTTAGTCTTAGTGCAACCAACTCGCTATTTTCTCTCCCCCCCCCACCCCCAAATATTTTTTTATTCTGTCATACCCCATATTGGCAATATTGTTAACGCTAAGAATTACGATAATACATGAGAATACATAGCATCAGATATGGACGGTTTAAAAATAGATTTAAAAAAAAAAAAAACGATTGAAATTAAAATTTGTGAGTGTTCAAAATCTGAATTATTAAAATTTCTAGTTGTCTAAGACTTGTCGGCCTAGCCCTAATTTCTAATATAATTTCTAAAGCATTTTGAGAATATTTACGACGGCAAAAATTTTGTTCACTCCTGGAGCCAGCGGAAACTTTCTACAGAACTTAACAAAATTACGTCTTATTTATGTATATAAATGTTTATATAGGCCTATATTTTTTTTTTCCTCAGCCAGAGGCAGGTCGGTTTATTGCATTCGATCACATTACCTTTTGGGTAGGAAATGCCAAACAAGTAAGTTTATTTCTAGTGGAATAGCTTTTTAAAAATTTATTCCATTACTTTATAATCATCATGCCAAAGTACCACATATAATGTGTCAAGGTAAGCTACATAAAATTAAAAACATTACTCTATTACAATGTGTTAAATAATGTAGATATGGCTACATACAAATACAATTTTAAGTTACTTTTTACGCAGGTGCCTAGTAATGGTAGCACCTATTTTTATAAAGAAATAATAAATAAAATGTTCAATCCAAAAATCATAAATATTTTTTTTAAAAATTAAAATATGTAATTGAGTGTTATGCAAAATAATTTCACTACATTTCTAGGCAGCCTCACACTACTGCACACGCCTTGGATTTGAGCCATTTATGTACAGGGGACTTGAGACTGGCTGTAGAGAAATCGCTGCTCATGTCGTCAAGCAAAATAAGGTACTTAAAATTTGACTACTTAATTAGGCGGAGGCGTAGCAAGAATGTTTGGCGCCCGGGGACAAGATTCGCGCACAGGGACAAGATCCATTTTAAAGCGCCCCCTTTTCTTTTTTTCAACTCTCAAACCCATTATTTTTACCAATAATATAATATCAAACCACATTTTGGCGCCCCTAACTAGCTTGCGCCCTGGGGGAAATCTGTTCCCCCTGCCCCCCTCTCGCTACGCCTCTGTAATTAGGTATTGTATTGATTTACAGATTATACTGCTATGCTTTTCTGTCTCATGTGTTAAAATGAACATCAAAACCAATTTGGCATGATATAATTTGGCTTTGAATTATTATATCATCATGTAAAGTAAAGTAAAATAAATTCCATCCAAAATAAATTTGAAACATCAGAGAAGTCAAAAGTTTAAAAAATGTATATGAGGTTTTAAAATATAATGTATGTATTTTTTAAAAATATAATAAATTTCAGTTAATATTGCACATATATTAAAGAATATTCAGTTTTTATTATCTAAGATAATATAGAAAAAAAAAACAGTCACTGAAAAATGAAAAAAACACAAAAAACTATGAAGTATCTTTATGATATGAAATATGCTTAATTAGTCTTTAAATTTGGATATGGTTAAAGCTTCTATACCATCATGCATAATTTTTTAAAATACCGGTAATCCTAATTTATCTAAAAATCTTAACAGTTATTTCCTACTTTCAGATTATTTACATCTTCCAATCTATGCTTGAACCAGATAAACCTGCAGGTAATTATTTTATTTATCTAGCTTAAAATAAAAAGTAAAAGGCATTTTTTAAAATGTTGTGACAGCTGAAGCAATTTACAGGTTGAATTCTCTAAACCCTCAAAAAGTGAAACTTCTGATCTTGAGATGAAAATGTAATAATAGTAAACCACATAATACTTGATGGGATGGTCAACAATTCTTTGGGTGAGAAGCCATTAAAAAATTTTCTGAATTTCTGAATGGAATGGTCCTCTCATCACTGACTCTAAATGAAAATTTAAAAAATCACTGATATTGTGTCATTAAATGAATAGACCTAAAATATGCACATATTATTAAGTTTGAAGCTTTTTGAGCCTATTTGTCAAATGTGACTTTATATTTTAGAATCTTCTTTTTTATTTAAAATGTGTGCTCTGTTCACAATTTTTATGTGTGGTTACAAAATTAATAATATTGTGACTATGACATAATTCAGTTGAAGTCAATTTGATGTTTATTTTGTGTTAACCTTTTAAGATATGGCTCGCCACTTGACACAACATGGTGATGGTGTCAAGGATGTTGCTTTTGAAGTAGAGGATTTGAATGCCATTGTCAAGGTATTTATTTTTTGTTAAATTCTGAAATCTATTGTTATATAACAGAGCATTATTCAAAATTTAAAAAATTATTTTTGCTTTTACCAGTTAAAAAATTAAGAAATGGAAAGCAGTTTTCACATTATTTGATAATTAAGATTTATCATCTTTTATCTAATTTAATTGTTCATTGTTTTGATTTTAAAAAAATACAATTTTTGAGAAGAATTGTTGGAGAACCCAATATCAAGCTTAATGTTACATAAAAGACATTTTTGTCCTTGGCAGAAAGCAAAATCTCGGGGAGCTGTTGTTGTTAAAGATATCTGGGAAGAGTCAGATGAACATGGCTCTGTACGAATGGCCACAGTCCAAACCTATGGTGACACAACCCACACACTAATTGACCGCTCCAACTATAATGGTCCTTTCCTGCCTGGATTTAAACCTGTCAATCAAAAAGATCCTTTGACTAAAATTTTGTAAGAATTTTTTATTTTACACAAGCTAATGAATAAAAAAAACCCCCAAAAAACAACTTCTTAAAATTTAAATATTTGACATGTTTAAATTAATAACTTTTGTGGATTGATAAATATTTAAAAACACTGGCCCTATTTTTCATTGGCTTTTTTCACAAGCTTTTATTATTAAGACAAAGACGTAACAAAGTATCAAATTTTGTATTTACATTTTCACTTAATTACTATTCTGTTACCATAACTTCCAATTTTTATGAATAAAGTTTAAGTATTAATGTTTACACAGGATTTTAATTGTATATGATAAATAATTTCAATTTTTTAAAAAAAGTGGTGACTTGCCTTTTTTGTCTCAGGCCTACTGTAGGACTCCTACATATTGATCATATTGTTGGCAATCAGCCAGACTTGGAGATGAATGATGTTGTTGACTGGTAAGTATTTGAAATAAATGACATTAGTTCTCCTTTCAATTGAGAAGTTTTTGCCATAAAATCATAACTGTTATTGAAATTGTTGAAAAAAAAGCACATTCAATGTCACAGAGCAGAGCTCAGCAACCTATTTTCCCATGCCATGCACCATAGGACTTCTGAGAATTCCATGGCATATCACAAGTAAAAAACATGAAAAAATATACTTTGCAAAATTATTTAACAGTCATGTGGGTGTGTAATGCTAAAAGGTATAAGTTTGACTGTGTTGCTCCTTATTTTCTGCATTGGATACATTTCTGTTATCACAGAGTTCGACAGCTCGGTAATATGCTATATGTCTCTTTTGTATCAACTCTTTTTTTATCACTGGTTGCAGAATTCTGTCCTAGAGGATCGATCCCAAATATTAGATTTCTGTTTTAATTTTTCCTAAAGGTATGAAAAAAACCTGATGTTTCATCGCTTCTGGTCTGTAGATGATAAACAGCTAAGCACAGAGTTTTCTGCACTACGTTCTATTGTGGTGACGAATTATGAGGAGACTATTAAGATGCCAATTAATGAACCTGCTATAGGGAAAAAAAAAAGTCAAATTCAGGTGAGAAAGAAAACAAAAATAATTTTATCAGATCTTAGCATTGATATGTGGCATAACTCATAATTTACTGAAATAAATGAGCTTAGGCAAGAAAAGCCCTTAATAACATACAGACAAAGATTATTACATGAAATGTAATAGCTTTAATTGCTTTTAATTCTGTTCTAAATTCTTTTAAAATGTTTTTTTTTTTTTTTCAATGGTTCAACTTTTCAATTAATTGGCAGTACCTCAGATAATTTTTGTGAAATTATAAAATTAATTTTATATAAATATAATTATTAATGTTGCTGGTTGGCCAAGCTATTTTATAAAAAAAAATTTTAAGTTCCACTTCTGATTATTTCATATACCGGTAGAAGAAAAACTTTTTAATTGTGTATTTGTATATATTTTCCAGAAGTGAAACAGGTTTTTCAAATTATTTTGATTTAAAAAAGGACAAATGGTGTGATTGAAGCTCTTGACATAAAATTTTATGCAAAAAAAAACCCTTCCACAGGAGTATGTCGATTACTATGGTGGAGCTGGAGTGCAACACATTGCCATGCGTTCAAACAACATCATTGAGACAGTAACTATATTTTTATTTCTTAGAAATAATCTTTTTTGGATTTTTAAACTGCTTAATTCATCTCAGAATTTATAAAATAACTGGCTTCAGTTACAAATTATTTCCATTTACAAATGACAGGCTTGTATTTCTATTTCAGTTGTCCATATAATAATTTTTATTATTAATATGAATAATTGAAACATCCGCAGAAATTTTTTATAAGATTGCAATATTAATAGGTCTATTTATTTATTGACTCGTGAAAATTACATTGAAACACATCCTATTTTATTGTACAGATTACCAATCTAAGGACCAGGGGTCAACAGTTCCTGGAAATCCCTGCTACTTATTATACTTCTCTGAGGCAAAATTTGAAAAACTCAAAGGTAATTTATTTTTAGCCCATTTTGAGAGAAAAAAGAAAGGTATGTAACTAAAGGTAAATTAATTTTTTTCAAAGTTGTATAGTGGTATGGTAGCTTGAATATTTATTTTATAATCAGTCCATGTTGCCATTTTTAAGGAATTCATGAAATAGTTCTACTTAGGATTCTTTAAAAATTGAATCAAAATAATTAAGTTGTTTTCTTCCTTTTCACAGGTTAAAGTGTCTGAGGATTTAGATGAAATACAAAAGCTTAATATTTTAATTGACTATGATGATGAAGGCTATCTGCTTCAGATCTTCACCAAAAACATGCAAGATAGACCAACACTCTTCCTTGAAGTTATACAAAGGCACAATCACCAGGTAAAATATATTACAATACTCTGAGCTGTCCTTAAAGATTAGAAATAACTAACTGACCGTGCTATACAAAAACAATACTTCGATTGAAGAAATATTTTTAAGAGCTTTCTGTAATTAATATTTTTTTCAATGATGAATTATATTGTTAATATTTGCTTGATTTCATAGTAATGATGCAGTATCAATTCTTTTTTAACAATTCCTTTTAAAATTCATTTACTTCAATACTTGCTTATATTACATAATCCATTACTCATAGATAATTGATATTTATCTTTGCTCAACAGGGATTTGGTGCTGGTAATTTCAAGTCATTATTTGAAGCTATTGAAGCAGACCAGGCAGAGCGAGGGAACCTTTAACCTTGGCCTGTGCTGGATTTTTACAATCCATTTTGAGAGGATCAGCTCAAGTTTTCTGATTTGCTTTCGGAGATGTTAATCTGTACCATCTTGTGGTAAATTTAGTTATTAATATCTGTCTTTACACATAATGAAGCTTATACATTAAATCTTTATTTTCATATGTATTTGGTTGATTTTTTAAGTTACTTTCATTCAACAAAATGGTGAAGATAAGTTTTATAGCAGCTGGTGAAATTTACTTGAAATATAAAATATTAGGTAAATTGATCAATAAATTTCAATATTTAAAAAATATTATTCTTTAGTAAACAGTCTGTGGTTTAAAAATATGTAATTTGACTATGCCGAAATTACATTTTACCATGGAGCAATGTGTGTTATATGATTATTAGGGACCTTACTGTGCAACCTTTTAAGGTTCAAACTTTTTATATATTTAAGACATTTACATTTTTTTACATAGACATAAACATTTATATCATCTAACTGGCCACATTTATAGAAGAGGCCTACAGATATTTAAAAGTTTGATATATTTTTAAAAGCAGTAATGAAAGAAATATTCTTGAATAAGAGCAATCTGAGCCAGAACTATTGATCTGATTTTTATAATGCTAAATTTAAATTTTTTCATTATAATGCATTTAATTTCTAAGTAGTGTATATTTTGTTTGAAAAATCTTTTAAAAATTTGATGTCAAGTACATTATATGAGTTGTAAAAGAAAGTTTGCATTTTAACATGTCTTAAAACTCAACTTTATTCAACTTTAGTTCTCAGTTCCTTAATTGTAATGTATTATTTGGTAGTAATTAACTGTTATAATTTAATGTAATTTATTGCAAAACTTTTCTTGCAATGTGTAATGTGTCAGTTTACAATAAATATAATTATTGTAAGAGTTCAAAAGTTTTCAGCTCAGTTTAAACAGGCAAAATCCAATTCAATTTATTTTTTCAAATTTATTTTGCCAAGACAGTCAGTGTGAGGAATAGATTTAAATCTTTCCATTGCATTTTTAAAAAAATGTAAAACTGATGAAACTATATTATTAATCGGAAATTTTGCTCTAGAACTATAAAACTTGAAATTGTTTGATAACCAGTGTCTTTGACCACTAGAAAAAATTGTCATCCACCTACTTTTGAGAGATTGAGTAGTTCCTTATCTGTCATAACCACTAAAAAAATTGTCATCCACCTATTTTTAGAGAGATGGAGTAGTTCCTTATCTGATATATTTTTGGCATTTATGAAACGCCCTTTGTTGGCAGCTGTGTACAGTCTTTGGAACCAAATATAATTTTTTTGCTATATTATTTTTCTTTCTTCGCAATCATGAGTTTTCTTTCTTATCAGTCATGAAACTATTGAATAGTAATTCAGGGTTTGATTAAGTTGGTGTACAATTTTCCCTGCATGTGGCTACCCTTATCTTTTATTTTCATTTTAGTTATGTTTGTTGCCTTACACCAGTGGTTCTCAACCTTCCAAATGCCATGACCTTTAATACAGTTTCCCATGTTGTGGCGACCCCAAACCTCTAAATTATTTTTCGTTTCTCTTCATAACTGTAATTATATGTGTTTTCCGATGGTACAAGGCAACCCCTGGAAAAGGGTCTTTCTACCCCCAAAGGGGGTCACGACCCACAGGTTGAGAACCGCTGCCTTACACAATATTTTAATTTCATTTTTGTTGCATTCAAATCTTCCGTTTACCATTAGAATTGTCGTTCAATCATAGTAAAGATTAAAATGTTTTCTCTGAATTTTTGAATGTAATCTGCACTTTAGATTTACATTCAGTTTCAATAAATTCTAAAAATGTTAGTTTTGTGAATTTGTTTTGAAATGATATTAAGAAAGTATTCTAATGCATGGTAAGGAAAACAATTCCATAATTATGTTATTTATTGCATATAAAATGCTCAAAATATTTTTGTACAAATTTTAATAGCAATTCATGAAGCCTTGAGTTTATGAAATGTACAATACATTCCCTTGTAATGCTCTTTTAAAAGAAGAATGTCAGTAAAAATCACAGCTTCATAATTCTTGTTTGCAATGCAGAATGCTGGTAGTGAAAGGTACGTTGCAATAAAAAGGCAAATTTCAATGTGTGTATATTTGCAATTTTATTTTATTCCTTCATTTCATTCCTACTCTTACACTTACAAATGCATTTAAAATAACATTCCAAATATATTTGCTTTAAAATTGATCTTGTGTCTCAAAATAAATTTATTATAATCAGGAATTACTCTTATTTTTTTTGATGTTGCTAGAATATTTGTAGGTAACATTTCATATTATTTCAATATGGCAATCTTTTGAACTGAAACTCAGTTCTAATAAGTGTAGAGCTAATGCTTTTTCATATTAACAAAATGGACTCAAGAAGTTAATTACTCGCAACACAATGATTCATTGTTAAATGGCTGATGTGAAAGCTTTATAATATAAGCAGCCATCTTTTCCTCAATACTGAACTAACACAGTGAACCACGTATATTTACACCACTTGGTAATAGGTAAATTGAGGATACCCCATTTTTTGACAGATTAAGGCTGAGAATAAGCTGTGTAATAAATCTCAGCCAATCAGTCCTAAGCAATTTAATGGGAAAACTAAAACTTGGTATGTAAATATTGTCAAATAAAATTTATAGAAAATAGATATTATTATTTTAAAAGACATGAACTGTCCTGGTAAAAGTAACACTTGCTGATTTATGAAATAAGGATAAAATTCTACTGGTTCTTTTTATAACATCTCACTCGGAATCCGATCATCTGAAGCTGACTGTGTAACAATTTTTAATCTCTGATTATTATTCTACTTGAATTTAAATAACACACTTATAAGAATCCTAATTAGTGATAACTTTTGGAAATTTCTATTTTTCACACCTATTGAACACAGCATTACTGCCTGCCATACATACATACATTATTGTTTTTTGTGATAATCTGGCTAGTTTTGTTATGGTGTAATAAGCTCATTTCTTGAGGAAGAAAAAAAGATTCTGATAATCGATAATGTAACATGATCCCAGGAGAATTATTAATAAATTTGGGTATTACTTTCTGCCAACAGTTAGTAAAACATCTGTAGCAATCTACTATAAACCTGTGCATGGTGTACCATACTCTAAGAAATTATTTAACGATATTAGAATTATAACGATATAAAGCATTTTTCTGTGATCTCTTCTCAAATTTATTTTCAGAAGTTTATTTTAATTTACGCAGCAGTTACTGTATTTGTATTTTATGCTGTACATTTGTGTAAAACAATGGGAGGGAAGCCTGTTAGTTAGGCTAACATTTTTTTTTTCTTGTGTATCCTAAGCACAATGCAGCACATTTCAAACTAAAATAAATTGAAGGTATAGGGCAAGCATGCCCCTTTTTTAAGAAATCTTCACACTGAATGAGTTCAAAAGAGCAATGAAGAAACTGGAATCTCAAAAAGTACCAGGCCCAGATTAAATCCATATCAAAATGATGGTGAATTTGTACTCTAAAAGGAAAAAAAAGCCATTACTAGATCTTATAAACAGCTATTGGAAATCTGGAAAATGCTATAATAACACTGATATTAAAAAAAGGAAATGCTGCAGATGATGTCAAAAGTTATATACTAATATCTCTGACCTCCTGCATTGGAAAACTTGCAGAAAGAATGTCAAAGATCTCCTTTATTGGTTCTTTCTTACTGATCATACTATCCAAACAAAAATTAATGAGGCCACCTCATCAAATTGTGTCTTGGAAGAAGCGCCCCAACAATGTTAGTCAATGAGCGTACCCTATTCCTAATGAATGATTTAACGGACGAGGAGCTACGGATGGAGAAGGCACTCTATGCATATGGCGTCGTGATGTGGCATACTTCCAGACACACAGGTGTAAGTGCAATGCGTCTTACCGAAGACTTGATTAGCAATGGTGCAGACTGTGAAAAGTGGAAACTGAAATTGAACAACACCTAGACCATTTATTCGGTCTGCACAAAAAGCCACAAGGTAGCCTAGCAGAACATAACACTATACCTACAAGGCACACTGCTCCAAAAAGAAGACAACCCAACATATCTAGATGTCTAGTTAGACAGGCAACTCAATTTAAAAAAGTGTGTTCAAATCTTGAAAGAAAAGTCAACAAGATGGCTAAACCTTATAAAATGCAAGCCAATACATCATGGGGCAGTGACAAGACCACAATGTCATGTGTACATAGGATATGTGTGATCAGTGATGGAGTACAGCTTTGAGCAACAAGACAGTATGAGGACTCTAGGAAGATGACAAAGCCAGGCAGTCCATTTCATCTTGGGAGGTCTAGGATCTACCCTTACGGCAGCATGTGAAATACATAATTTGAGCCCCTAAATCTTAAAAGTGAGGCAGCAGTTGTCAAGATTGAAAGGTACACAAGGCTAGACAAGCAACATCTAAATTGTTGAAAAATGGAGACCAAACTCTAGAAATAAACAGAAATCAATACTAGATGTACCTATGAAATTGAAGAGAAACACCATCTACCAACAGACAGAGAAGATGTGCAAATCACAGTTAAAGACCTATTCCAAAACGAACATTTTCAAACAGCTTGTATCAAAACAGACCTAATAAAAAATATAAAAAAGTACAGACCCATTACGATAAATTCAGAAAAAAAACATAGCAACCTAATCCTACCCAGAGGATATGATCCCAATATACGCAGATGGGTCAGCTTTCAAAGGAGACCTACAGGCAGGCCGATTATGTGATGAACTCTGCAACCCCTGTGGGGTGCTTTGCAATAATTATGAAGCAGAAGTGACTGCTATTGAAGCAGAATTACACCCTGTATCTGGAATCTTCACAGTTTATCCCAGCAAACAAAGTCATGTTGTTTTCTTCTCAGATTGCAAATCACTACTTCAGGCAGCTGAACATCAAGATCTCACAACAGTAAAATCACTACTTCAGGCAGCTGAACATCAAGATCTCACAACAGTAAAATCACTACTTCAGGCAGCTGAACATCAAGATCTCACAACAGTAAAATCACTACTTCAGGCAGCTGAACATCAAGATCTCACAACAGTAAAATCACTACTTCAGGCAGCTGAACATCAAGATCTCACAACAGTAAAATCACTACTTCAGGCAGCTGAACATCAAGATCTCACAACAGTAAAATCACTACTTCAGAAAATAAACACCACAAAACCTTTGCAGTAAACAATGCCTTACAATGGATAGCTTATAATCCTAGAAGAATAGTCCCAGGTCCTGTGGATTTTCATCCTGCGAAGTCCACACCATCTTCACATCATGACGGACGGATGCCAACAAAAATAATAGATACCAGGACATCACAATTTCCAGCAAATGAAAGAGCAGACAAACTAGCAGAACAGGGAGCATCCCATGAACAGGCAAACATCATGCAAGACTGTAAAGCAGATTATCAAACTTTGATTATCTCCTTTGTCTTGTTGCAAATTGACTGTAGTTCAAAGCGAACAAAAAAGAAGAATGGTTAAATGGATTGGCTATGGGCTCAACAGGAAGACGTGTTTTCACACACATGCCCAGCCCAAACCCTAAATATTCAATAAACTGCCTCTAAAGACACAAACAGGTCATAATTTTTCATCTGTAGTATGTGTCTTACAACTTAATTCACACTATAACCGCATAAAGTTAGATAAAACACCAATGTGCCCCCTGTGCAAACATCAAAATGAAACAGTAACACATGACCTCTTCCACTGTCCAGGACTTAAGACTTACACCTAAACCATCTACCAAAAATACTAGACTACACAAACACGCTATACACAAACAAAGAACAGCTGCACTGCAGTGAGTGTGTGGGCACATGCCCAAATGGCCACTGGATCTGAATGATATAGGTGATATTTTATTATTATTGTTACCGGTACCTGAAAACTTAGTATTCATTCAATTTATTCTCAAATAAAAAAATAAAAAATGAACAGCCAAATATAATGCAAACAATTTTTATATTGCAGGGAACTTCAATAATACATGTAGATATTTCTCTTTAAAATACACACACCAGTTATCAATGCAGTATCAATGACTTAAATATAATGTAAATTACATTCTGTAATTATACACAAGTATGCATATCTTGTAACAATTTGTATTTTAATGTAAGATACAAGTTACAAATTCACACTTTTAAGGCTTGTTGAGAAGACGAAAAAAAAAATTATTGGAGATATAAAAATAATGCAAATATTCACCATGCTTTACAGGGATACATCAATTATCACTACATGTTTCAAGTAAAACAACAATTCTCTTTTGTTTAATTTTTGCAACACTAAGTAACCTAATTCAGTATTTTAAAAAAATGTAAGTCTGAAAACATCATGTTCATCTAAAATAACCGCTCATCAAGCCGACAATTAAATATTTGTTTCCTTTGATTTTATTAAAATTTTTAATGAAAGTAGTAAAGATGAACATGTTTTAAAAATCTGATACAGAAAAAAAAAATAATTCCAAGGGCCAGAATAAGAGGTTGCTTTCTTTCATTTTGATTTTCTTTTTTTTTTTTAATGGAATTTAAAAATTAGCTGAAAAAATACAAATGTTGTACTAATTTTTTATGATGAAGAAAGGTTTTAATTACAATCTCCATCTTTGGAATAACAAAACAAGTGTACACAGAAGGTCTTAATTTTAAGCAAGCTCTACTAGGCACTTTTAAGTCTGAGACAAATATAATTTGTTCTGCACTATGTAAAACTTATTGAATTATTAGGAATTTCCACAATCAAATGATGCATCATCATTACAAAGTAAATTCTGAACAGTTGCGTGTCTGCTACTTGTGGTGTGGCACAGAAGGTAATAAAGTTCCCTCTAGCAGGGTAATTGTAGGATCAAAAGAGTTAACTTTTCCCATATGTCTACTCTGCACTCGTTAAACTGTTTAAAAGGCCAAGGTATCTCTAAGAGGGCGAGTAATTGGTTTAAAAAAGTGACCGGGGGGGGGGGGGGGTTCTCCATAACGTTATCTCATTAGATACAGGTATATAATAAATACACAGGTTGGCTAAACATCAACACTTGGAGCTGGTGGTCAGAGATTATGTACAAAACCCTTAGAGTCTGTGTAAACTTTTTTTTAAAGATAGAAAAAAAAGCAAGCTTGAGAATGATTTCAATTCAAATGGCAGATAATTTTCTAAGTTCTACAAAAAAAACAACAACAATTTTAAATCATTTTGAGTTAAAAATTATATTAAGGTTAACCTTCACTGGGTTAATTATGCTCACCAGCATAAAAAAAAGGTTAATGTTTGACACATTATTTTGAACCACTGATTGAAAAATTGAAATTAATTGTTTTTATGTACTTATATAATTTAACAATATGAATTAAAATAACAATACTTCGAAAAAAGAGCTCGCTCAAATTATAGTTTACTTTTCAACTAGCCCAATAGAAATAAATTCTATCAACAAACTTGACATTCAGTAAATAACTTTTTTTTAAATGTATGAATAAAAAAGTATCTCTTAAATTCATTTCTGGATTTTTATCAGTGTCAAACACTCAATTCTTTTTTTAAAATAAAATTGATGAAACAAGTGGAATTTACTTTATATAAAAGGGTCTTTCATAATAAATTTTAAACATTTTACCTGATCCGTATTGCCATAATAAACTATTTAAAATTTAAAACAATATCATTTAAAAATTATTAAAGTTTAATGTTGTCCCGTAAACAAACACATAGCTTTTAATACATTTATCATACAAATTGTTAACATGAATTATGATTTAAAACAAAAATGCATTATAATTGCTTTTCATTTAAAAAAAAAAAAATGGTTTTAACTTCTGCACAAATATAAAAATTTTACTAAATTTGAAACAGAATAGACTTTCATTTGGAATAATTGCAACATAATGTTATGATGTTGTGCATAGATACTATTTAAAAATTTAAGATTTTAAAATTATTTCTATATCTGTCATAGAAAATTGCATACCTTGTCATAACAATCAACCCAAACATATTTCAAAACTTTAAAATATACACCGCTATAAATGTATTACAGAGTAAATAAATCTTTTGTGGGACATTCTTGAAACAAACAAAAAAATAAAAAATCTTTTGCTATGCTAATATTGCAAATGTTAAGAATCTGTTATATGAAGCTTGATTAAAAATTATGGAATATAATCCAGCTTTTCTCCTCCTTAGCTCACCGATGAACACCAAGGTGATAAAGAAAGGTCAATAAAATATACATTTCTATTTTAAACCAGGCCTTATTATTGCTAGGCCCTAATGCAAATGGGAATCTCCCAGGGTCCAAGGTCGTTCTTTTTCACGTTGCCGCTGCAAAGACTCAAATGCTTTTTTCGGTGGCATGAGATTATCTGAAACTCCGTATCGTTTCTTCTTTTTCATACTCGCCATATAATTATCATCATCCTCTGGCTCCTGCTCCATTGGCCTGCGGCGAGCATCAGTGTAAGCTGCCGGATGATACATTTGCCTTTGTTGACCATGATCATTTGCATTTATTTCTTGATTGGAGTCATTGTTTTCCTCCAGAGTTCTGTTTTCTAAGTCATGGAAGAATCTGCAGTTTTTCCCCATATGACATTTTCCCTTCTTGAATTTCCAGCAAACTGGTTGATGAGCTGGTTTTTTGGGTGCTGCTTGGGTCAGTTTAACATGCTTCTCAAGAATCAGATTCTTAGCCTGCTCTGCTTCTTCAAAAGGATTGACAAACACAGAAGTTCCTATTCTTGAAGTGGTTGCTTCAATAATACTTGGAAGCTTTTGAGATAGCAGTGGGTTAGGTAATTTCTCTGTTGCCTCTGACTTGACAGTGGTTAAAGGTTTCTTATCATTAATGTCTTCATCACTGTCATCTTCAGTGGTTTCAAAAAAATTTGTTGCCTTCTTCTGGTCAACCTCCTGGGGTTCTTCTTTAATTCTGAAACAAGATTGATGGTCAGTGGCATTATTAAGAAGTGACTTTATTCTTAGTTTATGCAATAAGCAATGTTCCCAACAAGTCCATGCTTTGCATGAGTGGGTTATGTTATATTTAACAGTATGGCTGTCGATGTCTTCTATTGTATGTATGTCATGGTGTTTCACATGTTCACTTCCTATTCAAAAGATTTGAATTTTGAGCCCTTTACTTATTTGATACCAAAGCAAGTTTCTTTTGCCCAACAACACTTGTTTTCTTTCATCTTTTATTTGTGTATTGAAGGAGGGGGAAGGGGGGGTCTTATGTGGAAATGGCCATAGGATTCTAATGAATGGCATACTGGGACTACAAGTGGTAAGGAATCACAAACGATTTAATTCTTAACTAAACAAAAGACAGCATTTTAACCATGCACATCTTTTTTGCTTATGGTCATTTTGGCGTATCAGCAAGGATCAGTTGCTTTTGAACCTAGTAATTTGAATTTTATAGCAAAGGATGGACTATTTCATTCTATTATATTTCATGTAGACTTTATTGATCATCAGATTTAGGTTTGTGAAACGAATAGCGTTCAGGTCCAACTATTGGTCTATTCACTTCTAAGTTGAGTTTTGGGATTCACTATGCTTAGGATAAGACAACTCTTTTCAAACCCATGCTGCTAAATACACCTTCACCCACGTGTGTGTGTGTGCACTTGCAACCTGTTGTGGAAGCCACTAAAAAAAATTATTCATTTGCACAGATATGTTGATGAAACCCTAATTGATTAATTGTCTAGGCCTATCTATTACTTAAATACTGTTAGTAGGCTATTTAATTTATAAACACATTTAGTCAGCTGTCACATGACGTTTGAAAAAGAGCCCTTGACAATATTTGGTTTTGTTCCCCTAGTATTCAAAGTTAATTATTAAGAGGTTAAATTTTTTTTCTTTTTGGCACCTTAAATCTCTGATGCCTCTGCACCCACAGGCCTATCAGGGCCAGTGACAGCTCTGCATTTGGTCAGCAGTGGCAGTGTAGTAGAAGTATGGCAGTCAGTAGTGTTTGATTGATTTAAATTTAAGACCTTAATAAGTAGGTACTGTGACAGAAATTTTAAATAATGTCCTATTGCAATAAATGATAATCATTTTAAAGGGCTGGCTATAAGCTTTGCAAAAACGCAAATTTCATCTTTATATCTTTTAATAGAAATGAAGTCATGATTTTTTTCGGTGAATGTTTTAAACCCCCTTTTTATCTTTAGATTTAACATTGAAAACTTGTGATTGACTTTCCAAATTTCTGCCTTATTTTGCCCACATCTTTTTTTTATTTTAAAAGATAATTGCTACCAAATGTTCAGAATAAATTCTCAATGCAATATACAACACAATGAACAATAAAACTATTACATAACATCAAGACTTTGTATTTTGAATAATTTTATTTGAGGGTATTTTAAGAAAAACATGAACAGAAAAATTGGAAAAAAATTATTTTTTTGTAAAGGTAAATACAAAAAAACAACATGCTTATTGTTTTTTAATTCATATTATACGCTTCAGATCAATTTCAAATCAATTCTTAGATTTATAAAAGATAAGTAAAATTCTTTCTAAAAAATTTTTTTTAAAATTATGTATGAGATTTTAAATAAAAACTACTAAAATCACCCATAAGATTAATACCAGCAAAGTACCACATGATTAAATTTTAAAAAGTAATGGGGATGTTCTGCATGTCATTTTCTACTAAGACTGCTCTTCAGGTTACTTGGTCTTGTTGATGAATCCCTTACGGTTGATGGAAGTGGAAGGAATTCCACAAAGATCTTCCATAGAAAATTAAAATTTTCTCTTGTACTTGTACCTGAAAGAAGCTTAGAAATAACATCTAGATCTAATCATAATCCTAAATCTACACAATTTCTTCTTTCTTTTTCAACTTTGGTGTGGTTTAAATATTTTTAAATTTTTAATGTTATTTGATATATTAAATAATTGTCTATGTAAACTGCTTTTCTATGCCTTAATGAAAATATAATTACTGTGATGATGTTGTTTGAGTCTTGTTTTTATTTATTTGATTTCTTTTAATAAAACTTTTATATATAGGCTAAAATATATATAACCTAATTTTAAACAAGACTGTTATGTAAATAATTTTACAATTATCTGATTCTAATTATATAATTTAGCCTATGTTATAGCACTAGACAAAGTTTAAGACTAAAAGTCTGTGCTGTAAAAATAATATCACCGTGTTTGGAAAAATATGCGCTCTACGTCACTGATGACAAAACAATTTATTATTAGAAAACTGTGACGTAAAACAACGAAGTCCTCCCTGAGCTGAATGTAAAATGGCCACAACAGTTTTTGCGTCGTTTTTCGGTATGCGCAGACAGTGTGCGTGTGAGACTTTCGAAGACCCAAGTCCATGACACACAAAAAATCTTGGAGGATAAATTTCATAGAATCACAAACACAAAAACTGATAAGTCACTGATGACTAATGAGAAAAGCAATTACTTAAGACAAATGTGACGTAGTATACAATTTTTCAAAGATATCATGCAGCCATACGCCAAGTTGTAGAACAAGTTTTTTGCACCGAGTAGTTTCAAGACCTTAACTTACCTTTAAGATTGTCATTCAATTGTTGTGTTAGATCTGATTTTCTGATTCAATCACTAATTTATAGAGTCCAAAGTGAACCTAGGCCTAGGCCTAAGAGGAAGTTATCACACCAGTGATTTGAAATATTGCTTCAAAATTTATTCCAGTTAAACCAATCATTAATTTTAATTGTTATAAACAATAATTTAGGCCTATCTGTAGATACTTCGATGAAACAAGGGAGACTACTATTTCTTTTTGTGTCGGAAATGGGTGTCGGCGCCGAAAAATCCGAGTTTTTAATTTTCCGATGTGTGTGTCTATTTATTATTAAATTAGTTCTTTCCACATATATTTGAGTTCCGTTTCCGGCCTTATAATTTGGAAGACACCTTGGCCTACATTTCTAGCCAGCTATTTTGCTTTTTTCAATCGACCTTTATTTTGAAAATCTTTGGTATATATAAGGCATCTTCGTATCCAAATTTTTTGTGAAAAAATAAGATAAGGTCCTTTTTGATTAAATCTGTATGAGCATTAGATATTGATATATATCTGTGCCAAGTTTCATTGATGTAGGTCGTGTCTCACGTTTGTTACGCTTGTCACAGTGACCCATTATCACCATAAGGTGGCTCAGCCTAATTTCGACATGGCGTGGGCCACGCCCCCTTTTTAATGGCGGAAGTTGCTGATACTTAAATATTTAATTATTACCACTATATACATCAAAATATTTTATATTTTGTGTTTCAGAATGCATTTTGAAGACATTTAAACTGGAAAGTTTTAATTTGAGCTTTAAAAACCCTGCATAGTCCATATTATAAATGATCAGAATTTTCCCTGTACAACACGTTGCACATTGGCAACCATTCACAGCCACTTGCATAACGGCTATATCGTAGTACTATCTCAGAGTTTCATTCATAAGAGTTTGCCGTGTGCAAAAGCTATTAACCATTGGTCAGGGAAAGCTTTTATTAATTATTCATGTGCCAAAGTTGAAAGTTTAAAATAAGTCGACCCTAAACAGTATTTTAGTGATAAGGGAATGCGTTGCCTTATATAAACTATATAGTCATTGCGCATGACGCGATCAGCGGAATGAGGTCACAGAATGTGGAGATGCAGTCCATGTTAAAAAAGGACAAACCAAGTCGTACTTTAAAAATTCATAACTTTAAAACTACAACAGCCAAAAATATGATTTTGGTGTTATAATTCTGTAAAAAATTAGCTCTATTCAACTGTGCCATTGGTTTATTTTTACAAAATGTTTACATTTTTGACCAAAGTATCTATACTCTATACTATCTGAAATATCTGGACTGTCTTTCATCTAAATCTATTTGCCTTATTCCTATATTTAAAAAAAAAAAAAAAAAAAGTTCTTTTTAATGGAAATGGAAGATCAACCTGTAGTTTGTAGTATTTTTAATAACAGAAAAGGTCTTGTTATGGCTTGGACGATAAGATGGTATCAAGTCATTGTCATCGTGTGCAACAACTTCATAACAATTTAAACAACTTCATAATAATATAAATATTTGTTTTTAAGTATGAGCTGGAGCAATCAGCAATGGAATAACTTAGACATACTTTACTTCTGATTCATTAATAACACCTGTCTCAGTTTCATTAAAAGCGCTTGTCTCTATTGGCGTCTTGTCCTCTTCACTTTCACTATCCGAGTAGTCAGCTACCAAGGACGCCATTTTGACAACAATGATGTCGGAGAAAAGGCCCGAGGCTAAAAACGAAATGATTTCCATTGGCTATTATTTCGATATTATCTATTTTTATCTGTACACATGATTCCGGTTCGCAATACAAAACTTTGACTGTACAACAGAGTACACGCAGTCACTTTAAAACGTCTTCTTACTCTTTGGACCGGCTGAAAAATTGTAAGAAAAAGAAGACTGAATTAACTATTTATTAACATAATGAATATCCAAAGACATTGTAATTGTTGCCCTGTGTCTGGTCTGGAAGGCGAAGCCGAAGGATTATTTATGATTAAAAAATACTCAATTCAAATTAATTAGGCCCGAAATATAAATTAAACTACAATAAATTATGATATTTTGAAAAATGATGATAAATGAGATAACTCATTATTTTAAAAACATTTAGATCTAATTCTTTCAAGTTTAAGTCAATATTATGAGAGATGCAATTTTTAAGTTTAAGATTTAAGAAGTTAAAAAAGATCTAAAACTTAGGACTAAAAAGATGAGTATGAGTATGAGATAAAATTTTTTAAAAAAATTAGACCTAATAATTATTAAACATTCATTAATCCTTAGCCATTTTAAACTTAAGTCTTTCATAATTACCCCCCCCCCTTTTTTTTTAAAATGGGGGGGGGGGGGGAAAGCCCCACAAAAAAAAAAAAAAATTGTAGAGGTTGTAGTTGTAGGAAATCAAATTTAATATTAAGTTAAGATTGGTACTACAGTGAAACCTCAGCCTTTGAATAGCTCAAACCCTTGGGCCTTGGACCGAAATTAAAAGTGGTGCTATTTGCAGGGATGATACTTTTCTCAGGTTCAACCAGAAGGATGATCATTCACAATAAAATGAAAGAAGATGTATGAATACAAACATTGAAAATAAGAATAAATGAGAAAACAAACTGAAAGTTCATATTTAATACTTTTACATGCCTGGTATGAATAAATAGTATGATTATAACCAAAGAAATATGATGAAACAAATGAGATTTTATTGTGAGCCTTAAAAATTCTTCATGCAGTTTATTGACATCTACATTTAAATATAGCCTACAGTTTTGGATAAATCATATTATAAACATCCAAACACAATTTATGTATTTGTTCATTGTCCAGATTTCAATCGTCTTGCTTTGAAAGTTTTCACTATGCGTAGATTAAACTTACAAACAATACCCAGTCTTGCTGCAAATCATCACACTGCAAGCTGTTTCATCATGATTTTAGAAACACAGAGTGTGGTTGCAGACCGATAAATGAAACAAAAAGTGCTTGGTATACCTTGTTAATAGCATCATTTGGATGACAGCCATGTGTTATCTGAAGGAAAAACATGATTTAGTCATAGGGGAACCATTGCGCTTCAAATCTGAGAGTATTTGTGTTATTTCCAAGGTCTAGGTTGTTTGTTTAAAACATTTTTGGTGAGTTGGTGCTTTTGCCAGAAAAAGTGGTACTCCAAGGATCGCCATTCACAGGTTTTACTGTATAAAACATGGTATTAGTTATTTGGTCGCTCAATGAGGACAGTGTGATGGTATGCAACAACTTCATAACCATATAAATAGAACTAAAATTAAAATATTTAGGCCTACACCTAAACTAGTCTTAGTCTTGGAAAAAGTTAGCCTAAGGAAAATGTTTCCTAATCACTTGTTTTAGGCCTACCTTTTTTTTTACGTTTATAAGTAAATTTTATTTATTATTGTTGGTTAAATAACCTTTTTCCACTTCTAATTTCTTTCTAGGTTCAGTGACTTTGTCATCACATTTTATAGTAGAAGTAAGATGTCAGGAAAGGTAAAACAAAGATCATCAGCAAATACTGCAGACTCTGCAACGCTGTCATTAAACGAAAAAATATTAAAAGAATGCCATAGTCTTTACATTGATCCAGAAAATGGTAAGATAAATACAAATTAAATTTAATTTGCACAATTTTTGATAATCAATCATTGTTTTTGTCATTTTGTTGTTACTTCCTCAGTTTGGGGTGAGGGGCATACAATATATAAATTTTACAAACCCAAACTGCAATTTTTTCACAGACCGACACATTACTAATTGTTTTCATTTTCTATTGTTATTAAATATTAATTAAAAGCTTCTCGTGGGAGATGCTGATCTTCTATCGAGCGCCTCCCCAGCCGGCGGATAGGGGAAAGCCCGCCAGATATGGAGGGTACCGGGGAAATAAAATACCCGGGGCGGACCAAAATCAGCCCTACTGCCTTGTAGGAAGTGGAGGGATCCACAAAGGCTAGGGACCTAACCCGAACAAAGGCAGCTACCCATTGAGCTGTGAGGGGCAACCCCCCAAGTGGTTGTGCGCAAGGCCAACAACCCTGCCATGTAAAAAATCATAGTTACAAAAGCACCGAAAAGAGTAACAAAAGACATTTCAGTCCTGGGAGAGGATGGATTCCTTGAGGAGGAAAATATGACGCCTAATAGTGAAAGCCGAAACCTGGAAGCTATTAAGCCGACAACCATCATCTCTACCAGGACTACCACCGTCATTGGCGCTTGGAATGTCCGCACCATGTACGAGGCTGGTAAAGCGGCACAAATAGCCGCTGAGATGAGGAGCTATAAGCTCACCATTCTCGGAATTAGTGAAGCAAGATGGACTGGATGGGGACAGAAGAGATTAATCTCAGGAGAGATGGTGATATTTTCGGGACACGAAGAAGACAATGCCCCACATACCCTGGGTGTTGCTATGATGCTATCAAGGGCAGCACAAGGAGCACTCATTGGATGGGAGGCCCATGGACCTAGAATTCTTTTAGCAACCTTTCGAACAAAGAAACGTAGCATCAACCTAGATGTTATACAATGCTACGCACCAACTAATGAAAGTGATGAAGGAGACAAAGAAGAATTCTACAATAGAGTAATGACCATAGTCCAGGATCGCCCACGGAGGAACATCGTCATCCTCATGGGAGACTTTAATGCCAAGATCGGCAATAGCAACACAGGGTACGAAGAGGTTATGGGACAGCAAGGGATAGGCGAGATGAACGACAATGGTGAGAGGTTTGCGGACCTATGTGCCACAGCTGACCTGGTCATAGGGGGGAGCATTTTCCAGCACAAGAGGATTCACAAAGCTACATGGGTCTCTCCGGACATGAGAACGATGAACCAAATAGACCATGTATGTATTTGTAAAAAATTCAGGCGATCTCTCCAAGACGTACGTGTTAAGAGGGGAGCTGATATTGCCTCAGATCATCATCTTCTTGTGGCCAGGATGAAATTAAAACTAAAGAGACATTATACCGAGCAAACAGCATACAGGACTCGGTATAATACCTCCCTCCTGAAGGACCAAGCCAAAAAGGAAGAATTCAGAATCTCACTATTCAATAAGTTCCAAGTCCTACAAGAAATACTTGAAGATGAAACCACCGAAGGAAAGTGGCAAAGCATGAAAGAAACAGTCCAGTCAACATGTCAAGAAGTGCTAGGAAACAGGAAAAAGGCACACAAAGAATGGATGACAGCAGGTACGCTGAATAAAATAGAAGAAAGGAAAAGAAAGAAATCAGAAGTGAATAACAGCCGCACCCGAGCACAGAAAAACAAGTCCCAGAAGGAGTATGCAGATGCAAATAAGGAAGTTAAGAAAAGCATCAAGAGAGACAAGAAGGAATTTGTTGATAATCTTGCTAAAGAAGCAGAGGATGCAGCTCACCAGGGGAACATGAGGGAACTGTTTGATACCATTAAGACGCTGTCAGGGAAATTTAGCAAGGTAGAGAGACCAGTGAAGGACAAAATGGGAAACACCATACCAAGTGAGGAGCAACAGAGAGGGAGATGGAAGGAGCACTTTGAAGAGCTCCTGAACAGGCCTGAACCAAGAAATCCACCAGATATCCAACCAGCCGATAATGACCTGCTAATTGACTGTAATAGTCCCACCAAAGAAGAGATTAGCAGGGCCATTAAACAACTCAGAAATGGAAAGGCTGCGGGACCTGATGGCATCCCAGCAGAGGCACTGAAGGCGGACCTGGAAACCAGTGTGGAAATGCTACACCCTCTGTTTATGAAGATATGGGAAGAGGAGCAAGTTCCTTCCGATTGGAAAGAGGGATACCTTATCAAGATCCCAAAGAAGGGAGACTTAAGCTCCTGCTCGAACTACAGAGGGATCACCCTGCTGTCCATCCCAGGAAAGGTTTTCAACCGTGTACTACTTAACAGGATGAAAAACGCTGTAGACCCTCTGTTGCGGGACGAACAAGCCGGCTTTCGCACCAACAGATCCTGCACGGACCAGATAGCGACACTGCGCATCATTCTAGAGCAGTCACTAGAGTGGAACTCGCCGCTCTATGTCAACTTTGTTGACTATGAAAAAGCCTTCGACAGTGTTGACAGGCAAACCCTGTGGAGATTGCTAAGGCATTACGGGGTGCCACAGAAGATTACTGATATAATCAGAAACATGTACGAAGGGATAAACTGCCGAGTTATCCATGGCCAGCAGTTGACAGATGCTTTCCAGGTGAAGACTGGTGTGAGACAAGGTTGCTTGCTGTCACCATTCCTCTTCCTGTTAGCCATTGACTGGGTGATGAAAACATCTACACAGCAGAAAAGAAATGGCATCCAATGGACCTTGTGGGATCAACTGGATGATCTTGACTTTGCTGATGATCTTGCACTTCTTGCACATACCCAACAACAGATGCAGGAGAAAACAAACATTGTCGCAGCCACTTCTGCTAGCATGGGTCTCAACATCCACAAAGGGAAGAGTAAAATCCTCAAGGTTAATGCCACCAGTACATCACCCATTATGCTTGAAGGAGAAGCCCTTGAGGAGGTGGACAGTTTTGTTTACCTTGGCAGCATGGTGGATAAACAAGGTGGTACAGATGCGGACGTCAAAATAAGGATAGGAAAAGCAAGAGCAGCCTTCCAACAACTCAAGAATGTTTGGGTCTCTAACAACTTAGGCAGCAAGTTAAA